GACGACGACGACGACGACGACGAATTGAACACAATAACAGTACGTACACAACCTATGTTTGTTTTTTATCTCTTTGCAACTTTTCGTTAAAAGATTTTTTTTTATAAGTACCCTCATTTTTCCATTTTTTCTCCTTTTTTCAAATTACTTACTTACAGTACAAAGACAACAAGAGTACTTAGAAAATTAATTTATATCGTAATAGGGTTTTTTTTTAATTAATGTTTTTTTTAAAAGGTCATACTGGTCAAAAATGTGGGAAAAATGGATTTTTAGTTTACATATATCGATTGAATATACCTTTAAAAATGAAATACAAAAATTGTTGATAAACAGTATTCATTATTTCGATTTTTATATAGCTTGGAAATTGAAATAGCGCGATACCTATAAGTATATTGCAATACGGTACTGCATATTTCCAATAGTTTTCTTTAAAAACACAAGAGAATTATGGTAAATTTTTAAAACGTTATCTTATACATCGGTGGTTCTCAAGGTATGTGCCGCAAAATATTAAACAATTTTCATCATTTTAATTCCATTAGTGACTTCTTATTTGTGCGACGTTAGATTTTCGACAATTACTATGATAAAATCAAAGTATCGCATAGAAATAAATGTGAAGAAAGAAATGAATTCAGTTTAATTCCACGATTTAAGAAAATTTCGGCAACCAACAGTATCATCCATCTCTGTCAGCCATCCAACTAATTACCATAATTGAATTTATTTAAATCAATATTTTTATAGACACAAATGTGTTTTATTTATTTTTATCTAACTCTTGCACAATATTATAGCTTATTTGCAAAGTGTACTTATTAAAATTCGTTATTTGTATGCAAGTTTAATTTATAGTAGCAATCATACAAAGTAAAAATTAATTCGAAATTCTCGAATTTCGGATCAATAAAAGTAAACAAAATCATTAACGCGAGTCTCGAAGAGTTTCTCAGATATTTCATATTGAAGGCAATTATTTTTCTTGAAAACAAAAACAAAAAACTTGTAAGAAATACTTTTTTTTTTTTACAATTTTGCGGCGCTTGACCAAAATGACCCTTAAATCTAAAATTGACGTATTACGATTTTTCTATGAACAATATAGCAATTGTATCTTTCTATTGATAAAAGGGTATACCCCAGGAAACTTAAATTATTAACCTATGAGTTGATAGGAGGAGCAAGGGTAAGGAAAAATTGCATAAACCTCCAACAATAAACAGTCAAACTTCCTCTCTACGCAACAATACAGATCATTCTTATACAAGCCTAATAAACTTACTTGATTGTAAATAATTTATTCATTAATGCCCTCCTAATGAAGAATACTTAGATGCACGTTCTAATATATGTCAACGAAATATATCTTCATAATTTTGCTTAATTTTCATACGTTAAAATTGAATATACATTATTTTAAATAATCGGTTTGAGGTAAAATATCATATACAAAGAATTCTGTGTCGTATCTTGATGATACTTCAAAATGATTCCGTATTAGGACAAAAATTCGACGAGCTCGTTATTATCGAACTTTTATTTCAAGAAATCATGTCCTAATACAGATTTACAAAATAGCAATATATATATATCGTGTAAAGAATTCGGAAATAATCATAATACTGCACATAACATCTAAGCTTTCGCAATGCTCATAATGTATATATAAGCCTTGTCGATTATAAATTTATAAACTTATACAAGATACGATAGCCTATAAAAATGGCGAAGAAAAAATGCACGATAAATAATGTATAAGTTTAGAAATTAAGCGAAAATTATTATTATTTTTTTTTTCTTAATATAGTCAACATAATGATAATAATATTTTAAAAAAAATAATAATAATAAAGAATAACGCTACGAAACAACGACCGATTGTTACAAATCGGGTAATATAGAATTACCGACTTTTTGACTTTAATAAAACTATAATAAAAAACAACACAGAATCGCATGGCCCGAAAAAATACGTAATCTACGTCTGGCAGTAGAAGACTTTTTTTTCTCGTTGCTAAGTGACTCCGTCTATTTTCTTCATATTATATAATCAACTTGCAAATAAGTTTGTAAGAAATATATATATATATATATGGATATACATATACATACATATATATATATATATATATAAAGTTTTGGTCTTATAAAATTGAATTAATTTACAGTACTTCTTAAATGTAATTGCGTATTCTCATCGAATAATAATTAAAATTACATTATTCTAGCTCATAATAACTTAATAACAGCTTATATAGCTCAGCTTCGTCGTTTTAAAGTATTCGCGTTTATTTTTGTTTTATTTTTTACCGAACTATATACGACGAACGCTATTTTTTATATTTGCACATGCTTTAATAATACACGCGGACCCTGCCACTGAACAAACTCTCTCTCTCTCTCTCTCTCTCTCTCTCTTCCTAACTTTTTCCATGTTCGTCTCATTGTTTAAAATCACGCTCACTCAATTCCACATTGTCGTTGTGTTATCATATTGAGTGACAATTACAAATAAACAAAGAAAAATGACAAAACATTAGATTGTACAAAATGTAACACGTTTTCGATATAAAATAGGACAGAAAGAAAATGGAAGAAAGAAAAGAGAAAGATAAAGATAATGAAATCTTTCAAACGGTATACAGCACAGGCACCAATGAAAACAAATCAATTTTATATTACATATGTGCCGGTAATTAACGATGGGCTAATTAGTCAAAAAATGTTAACAATTTGTTTTATGTATTCGTCCACTGTCATAATTACTTGCACAAATGTCGGTGATTTAACAAACGAGTTTAGAGCAAAACAAACCATGGATTTTCTACGTTTTTGTTTGTTTTTAAGGAAATAAAAACGATCTTAACAAACGTAACAATCCTGATTTGGAAGTGTGTATTATAGTTGGTATAACCGCGGCCGGTTTATTGATAGATTTATTAATATTTATTTGTCATTGCGATTTATTCAAATCTTTCCTTTAGATCGATGTCAAAGACGATTTGAGATTAATTACATACCATCGATTTGTCTAACAAGCAACATTTTTACTTTTTTCTTTGTCGTTTCGTATATCTGTATGTGTGTATGTACAGTCAGTCATAGTAGCATTTATAACGACCTCCACTCTCAATTTTAAATAATTGATATTTACTTATAATGTCATTTCTCAAAATTCCTATAAACAGAAACTTGTTTTAGAGTAATTATTATTGAAAATTTCAAATTGATATCGAGAACATAAATACAACTGCACACTTAGGTAGTTACTTAGATATTTCTTCAATGTGATAAACGTCCAAGTATTATGTGATCATCAAATTGTTAAAATTATTTATCGAATCTTCACAATCGGATAAATTATAAAGATGAGAGATTGTTAATAAAAAAAAAATAAAAATAAAAAAAATAAGCAAATATTAATTATTTGAAAATTACAGTAGTAGTAGTACGAATATTTCTGTGACTCACTCTGTGTATAAATATATGTATGTATGTATTTATGTATGTAAAAGAAATGCTCGGCCGAGAATTAGAAAGCGCAAAGATCGGCTCAAGCTGTCCTTCTTGATGTCTTCGACAAAGACGAGTAAAGAATATGACTAGGGCCGTCTTTGGCGAAATGTATTGTGGCATATAATAAGAGAAGAAAAGAAGATAAGAAGATTCAAAAAAAGAATATATATACAGGATGATTAACAAACCATTATCAATAAAGAATACTCTGTTATTCACCCCGTATATATAAGAAATAAAGAAAAAAAGAAAAACACTTTCCTCGCACCATTAACGAAACATGCCTTAAATGGTTGTAACAATAATATATGACGATGACACGACTCCTTTAACCTGTTAATCGGGAAAAAATTCCTTTTTGGTCAGTAAAAATGTGAATATACTATTATCTAATTTGTATTAAGTTCTAATTTACATATAAGACAATTATAAAGCTTAAATTTAGCGCTTATTATTAAATAGAATTATTTAAATGTAATAGAACATAAACATAATGTAAAAGATACATACATTCGTAAAAAATACTTGTAATAGGAATGAAAAAAACCATTGATTATACATCGATTTACATTATTTTATTTATTTATTCATTATTATTATTAATATTATTATTGTTATTGTTATTATTATTATTATTATTATTACTATTAATACGTCTTCCATCATTAAAAATTTCTGACGAATATGATCGTCTTCGTCGTCGGTTAACAGGTTAAAGGCACAAGCTCGAAAAAGAAAAAGAAAAGAAATCAAATTGACAAAGAAAGAATATTTATTATTCTATGCGACGAAGAAAATAAATTTAGAACTTTTATTTATTATTACTCTCGTAATCCTCTTCCCTACCTTCCTCCCTTTTTTTCTATGCAAATCCGCGCACTCTCGTCTAATTTTCTTATCCCTTTTGTTAAAGGGATTTAAAAAAATGTATTTTTCATTAAATTAAATTTCATCTAATTTTTATTCCTTTTCTCTATCTTTTTCTCTTTCTGTCTTTCTTTCTTTCTATTTTTTTCGCTTTTTATTTGAATAAACCTTCGAAACGGCCTTTTAAGGAGAACACTATTATATGTCTATAAACATATAATAATAAAAAAACAGGATTAGGGAGAGATAGAATAAAGTATTAGCTAATAGAAATTAGATTTGGGTGTGCGAATGCTTAAAATATTAAAAATGTAAAAATGTCAAGCACGCGCGCATACTCACACACAAACACGCAACAGCAACACGCACATACGCACACACAACGGTACTATTATAGATTCCTTATCGTAGATAGAATGCGATGGCAGTTTTATGTCCTGGAAAGATGCTGTGATTTATTGTTTCGGCCGCTTTGATTTTATTTCTTTTTCTTTTTTTTTCTTTTTTTTTCTTTTTTTTTTATTTATTATTTCATTTCAACTTAATATTCTCTCTCTCTCTCTCTCTCTCTCTCTCTCTCTCTTTCTTTCTCGGCCTCCGAATAATATTTATTATTGGTCGTCTGAGTGTGTGTGCCTTCATTTTCCATGATTCTAAAGGTTTACAACATTTCACATTCGTGCTTAGCTCGGAAAAAAATTCGTGTTCGCTTCTTCGTATTAACGGTAAGCTTTTCTTCGTGGCAGTGTCTGAAAGAAAGAGGAAATTATTAAAGTGAGAATGATATATAACGATATAATAAATAAATTCATCACAATTTTTCAAGGCAAATTTTTTGATACGACAACCGTCGTTCTTATGTTGTGTGCCGTGTTTTTTTTTTATTTTTGGTCTTGTTGTTTTTGTATTTTTTTTTTTTTTTCTATCATAATGTCCAAGTTTTACGAGAATATTAACTATATGAAAATAATATAATAATGTGTATATATACTATCATATTTCGCAGAATAACGCATGATTCATTTTTTACTGGCGTATTGAGAAATGATAAAAAATGTATTTGTCTAATATGCAAATGCAACTAGCGATAATAACTGAAAACTAATTCTAAGAGCGATGCAATCTCACGCGCTAAATCTCTCACCTGTTTCGGCATATCTCCATTTCCTATTATTATTATATATGTTACCATTAAAGTGTGATATACGTTAATTTATAAAATAACTTGTAGACAATAAGTATTATAATGTTACATATATATATATATTTTAACTTCCTTTCCTTTGTAAACGATAAGCCTTATATCTGATTTCCTGTCCTTTTATATTATTTAATTTCCTGTTAAATGTTTGAAGTGCGATCTTAATCCTTAATTAAACAAAACCTTGTGATCTTTCCGATTTTCAACCCAACCTCCAGTCATACTGGAGGGCAATAAGATTCATATGTTCTCTGTCCCTCTCCAAAAGGGCATACGTAGCTTAACTGTTAGTATAAATGTGTGAAAATAAGTAGAGAAAAGAAAAAGTTAAGAAGTTAATAATCTCCATCTGTTTTAAGTTAATATCATCTCTGTCTGTTAAAGTCTTTTACAATCAGTTATCAGTGTTTTTTTTATTTTTCTCTGAATCCCATACTACTGAATTATATATCGACCGATCAAGTAAAGTATGAAATAATTCTTCAATTTGATGAAATATGAATAGTTTTAAATTAAAAAGACGTAAATCTGCCTTACATAACAAAAACATAACTATTATTTTTGTCATTATAGAATTCGATAAAGAGTTCATTGTTCAATTGAATATATAAATAAGTGAAAATACTGTGTTTATACAAACCTTCATTATATGGCTACCTACGCCTCGATCGACTTCTTCTTTTCCTTTTTCTTCTTAAGAAACGATGGCGTCCTAAGGCCCTTCTTCTTCTTTTTCTCCTTCTTCGGCGATTCCTCGCTAACACTCACGTCCTGCGACATGGAACCCTTAACACGGAAGGTCCCAACCGTAACCATAAACCTTTCCACATGCACATGCAACGTCGTCGATCGGTTTAGAATCATTCAATGAATTCTATTTAATCTTAAAATCTAAATATTAAGTTAAGACATTCATGGCTCATTGTTTATAATGGACAGCATATAATTTATTTTAAAGACATTTTTCAAAAGTGAGACGAATTATTAATTTCAGATTTATATTTTTAAATAAAAAACGAAATATTTTATATATATATATATATTTCTTCCTCAGTAAAATGATATATTTAAAATATCAATAGTTCGATGTGTAATATTTACAATTTACATCATAACACGGACAGATTTTTTGATAAATACTAAGTACTTATAGATTGAAGCTTTTATTACTTATTGATACAGCAAACACCAGCCATATGATTAATATTGATTAGATCATAAAACATTGGGCCATTTGAAAATTTCAAGTAAGTGTAAAAAAAGTCCTTGAAGATTCTAAACTTTCTCGTTCGATTGCATTCGAGTAGTAGTCATGCATAATAGGCAACTAACTATTGAAATAAGCAATGAAATGGTGATTTGTATTTTAAACAAGAAACAAAAGAAAAAATGGAGAAAATAAAAGAAACGATAATGAATGAAATGTATGAAACTACGTCAAAGCTTTGAGCTTTGTATTTAAGAAAAAGACAAAAAAAATTCAAGAGAAATAAGCAGCTTAAGTTTCCAATTTACTCTGGCGGCTTGGCTTTATTTACGCGGCGGCTTGCTTTGTATATCTCTTTGTATATGGCACGTCTTTGAGCACAATTTCAGATGCTTATGTGTTATTCCTACACACCGATGCGCAGCTGTTTGTAAACTTTTGCAATCTAGTCCATTTGTTTTCTTTGTTTTTTGCTTTGGTTTTTGTTTTTTAACGTAATAATGACAATTTATGACTTATAAGCCAATTGCTATTTTCAGGCATGAAATAAAAAAAGAAATATGAAAAATAATGATGAATTGTTATCACAGTTTTGAAAGGGAAAAAAAAAGGAAAAAAAAAGGAAAAAAAAAAGGAAAAAAAAAAGGAAAAATAGAAATTAACGAGAAGCCACACACCCCACAAATGCTTCTCTCTCTCTCTCTCTTTCTCTCTCTCTCTCTCTCTCTCTCTCTCTCTCTTTCCATTGATTGAAACGTTAAACATGGACAAGTTATGTTATAAATACATATTAGTTTGACATTTAGAAAGATAAAAGAAATTGTCTAGAAATAACATTTTGAAAAATAAAGAGAAAGTAAAACAACAACAACAACAACGAAGAAAGAAAAATGATAGTTTTAACGAACCTCCTTGCTACTTTGAGAAAATGTACTGTGATGGGCGTCCGAGTGATCGCCGTTTACGGTATTTTCTCCTGTAACAGAAAAATAATTTCGATCAACAACATCAATAACAATCACTAGCTATTATTATCGATTGAAATATTAATCCTTGAACAATTGAACATTAATAATGACATACATTATTTAACAATGTAAATTTTATAAAATAATTGTTTGTAACAATTCACAAATGAATTGTACGTTATGTAAAACATAATTCTTTTTTGTTCAAGGATTAAAATAAGTAATAAAAAATAAAATAAACGTTAAAGAGCCATTGAAATAAGCGTACCGTAATAATCGCAACTTACCTTACAAATGTGTAGCATAGTGTTACCGTGCATTGTATGTTCCCTTCCCTTTCTTTAAAGTAGATTCAGTAAGGACTGTGCAAAGGACAGGTGGTGATGGTACATTGTTTCGATTAAAGCGTTGGGAATTTTAATGAGAAACATTTTTACAAGCGATATAATGTTGACAGAAATAAAATAAATTCATAATCGTCGTCTGTTAGTTTCGATGTATGATAATGATGATATTACAAGGAAAAGTAAATAGAAGGAAGGTTTTTACATATACACAAGGTATAGCATTTCAATTTCAATAAAACTTTGATTTTGATGGTCTCGTTGGTGAAATATTTTGTCCTTAATTATAGTTAGATTAATTAATAATATAGAGTAAGATTATTTGAAAAAGTGCAAATGTTTATTTCTTATCATAAAAACAAGGACGCATGCGCGTCATTGAGCTAATTAAATGTATCTATATACATTAATGAGATCTGACCTGCGATCCCTGAATTTGATAACAGAACAACAAACATGGAAATCGTAGGCGCATGCATTTGTGCAAGAAAAAGAAAAAAATCTAAAACAAAAATAAACTCTGTTACATAGTCATTAATACTGAACTATCAAAAATATAACATAACATAACTAAACGAATGAATTCCTTTCTTTGGTATTTTTTACTTTATCTTTTGTAAAAAGAAAATAACGATACGATATTTCAAGATAAAAGAAAATAATAAATGATAAAATTTACGTGAAATACACAAATTAACGTTGTTGTTAACATTGGCCTCGTAACGGAAAAGAAAACTAATAATAATGATAATAATAATAATAATAATAATATTAAAATATATTAGTTGGTAAGAAAAATTTCAGTGGTCCTCAGAAGAGGAGAGTGAACGATTGTCTTGAGTGGATTCAATGAGAGAATTGATATTAAGTTTCATTCCCGATACCAATCTATATAAGGAAGAATCCTCATATCGTGGAAGCACATGAGATCCAGTCAAATCAAGATTCGCAAGTTGTTCAATACCGTTATTATTAACTAAAACAGGAGACGACTTTGAGATCACCAATTCAATATTTTCTCTAATTACATTATCATTTTGTTCTACGCTTTCCTTATCCTTTATAGAAATGATACTACGATTATTCGAATTGGAAGGTGACTTGGAAGGTGACTTGGAAGGTGACTCAAAATTTGGACAAATGACGTAGGTTGCATCTGAAGAAATGGAAACTTGATCAATCGAGTCTTGAAAATGATAATCTGAACATGAAGACGGTCTGTCTACTGACGATGTATTGTACTCGCTACTTTCGTCCTTGCAAGTATAATAATCTGTTGATTTATTCGATTCTTCCCCACTTACGTTCATATTTTCATTTTCCATGAAAGATGTTATTATTGTCTCACTGCTATCCAATCTTTTCAATGAACAATCAGCAAAACACTCCGGACAAGTATCAATGAGTACGTTAGTTTCTTCATTTAATGATTCACTTGTAGTAGTCTCTTCCGTTATGGGTGATAAATCTTGATACTGATGATGATCATTGTAATGATCATTGTAATGATCAAAATAAAGATCGTTTGAGTCTACGTTTCCATTAGATATCATTGATTTATTATCAATAATTGGCATCCATCCGTTATTCAAACAATATTGCTCCATAATCTTCTCCCCATAAATTTCAGCAAGGTATTTAAAGTTTTTCTTAAAATTATTTGACAATTGCAAATTCCTTTGATACTCAACAACATTTTCGTTTGTTTCCCTATCGGGATATTCAAGCTCACAATGTTTACGTTTACGCGAATCTTTCGACGTTTCATTAAATAAATATTTGCTAACGTCACACTGAGATTTTTCTATTTGAAAATTTAACTCGATCACATCATTTCTACTCGATCGATTAGTTATAGAACAAAATTCAAGGACAATTTCATCGGACAAGGGACGTTTATTATTTTGTGAATCATTTTCCGTAATTACACGAACGTTAAGATTTTCATCTACGTCAATGTCAATATTTTCACTTTTACTTATCATATTGTCATCTGCGTCTTTAATACATTTTTTATTGCTTTCGGGTAACGTTCCTGGAAAATGACATTCGAGCGATGTACATGTTAACGTTTTATCAAGTATCTTGGGATAAGTTGTTTGATCTATTGATCTTATCATCGAACATTCATTTACATCGCTATTTTTAGTATTTCCTGAAATATTGTTAACAACAATAGATCTACTGTTGATGTTGTTATGTGAATCCTGTAAAATAATGGAGGATTTCTTGATACATTTTTGATCATTATCGATCTTTGGAGTGGAAACAATAAGTGTGTCTTCCATATCATGCATTTCTAACACGTGATGAACAAGCTCGTTAATGACAATTAAATTAGAATTATCTGCAGAAACCGTATTCTTTGAAGGTACGTTTAGATTTGAAGTTAAACGAGAAGCATCATCGATAACCTGATCAACAATATTTGCTGCCTCAACGCAAGCTTGACTGATATTAAGATCAGCTAATATTTGATTAACGCTACTATTCATGTCCTCACTAAAAGATTCCCCAAAAAAATCTTCCAACTCGAGGATCGTACCAGTTGGTAATTCTAATATGTCTGATCCATTATTAGAGCATTTATCGTTGTCGTCAACAATGGAATTATTATCAGTAGAGTCATCCTGAAAAATATTTTCTATGGATGAATTGTGAGAACTATCATCACTTTTGGCTTTATTAACTTCTTTCTTCCATTCGTTAGTCATTTGATGCTCTACATCAAATGAATTCTTTATGCTATCAACATTGTTATTTTCAAAACAAACCGTTAACATTTCGCTTGACGGTGGTGTCAAACTGTAAATCAAATTCATGTTCGTGGAATCTAAATTATACTTCTTATCCGATGGTGCTGCTGCTGCTGCTTCTGTTACCGGTAAAACATTTTGCAAACTTGCACAAGACGGCAAAATTTTATCATTGATACAATTAATAACATCTCCTAAACTATCTCGACGATTACAATTGTACAATTCCTCTTCATTGTTTTGTTTGGAAACCGATGATAAACAATGACAATCATCATCTTCCCAAAAAAATTTACTTTCACAAGAAAAACTTTCATCCATTTCTTTTTCAATGTCATTCTCCCTACAAGATTTGTCGTCTTGTTGATCATTAGCAACTTGATACCTAGACGAGTCACATATTTTCTCCATTATCGAATTCAATAACGTTCCATTGACTTTTTTCTCTATTCCAGCATTGCTTTCAGTTCTGTCATTATGATTCAGATAAAGTACAAGTTGATTTTCATTATTATTTTTCTCATCTTCGTTATAATTATTAATAATGTTATTAAAACATTTTGTTTGAAAAAATTTATAAGAATCTTTTTCTTGAACCCCATAGTTGCCATTCAACATCCTTGTCTCATAATTTTCGAAAAATTCACGTCTTGCTTCTATTCGAGTTTTATAATTTTTCCAAAATCGTCTTTCTCTGTTGTAATGATTATCTGTAACTTTTTTATCATAGTTCTTGTCATCATTCGTTTTTTTAATGGGCCTCCACATAGTGTTCCACGAACATTCAATCAAGGTGGGTTTCATACGTTCTGCGATGACTAAACTGCGAACGACCTTTAAATGCTGATTTTCATGGAGCTCGGGAGATCGCCAGCCTGAGCGAATGCTACCACTGCTTTCGCTGCCACAACCTCTTGATAGAGCACAATCTGTAAAATTAGATTGTCCAAAGACAAGCGAAGCTCAGTCTCTAACACATTCTTTTCTTCCACGTCAATCTATTCGATTTAAGAGTAGCATGATTGACCTCGTTATGATCACGGATCGCTCACACCTTCTTATACTATAATTCCTTTTACTATACCCCCAATTTAAGATAGACAATAACAGTTTTAACACTTATTTAACCAAAGGTTTTTATCAACCTCTGTATTATTATACTCCTAATGCTAAATCACGATCACGATCACGATCACGATCACGATCACGATCACGATCACGATTTCCTTAACTACAGTAAATAATAAGAAATAAAAAACAGGAAAAAGCACGATGATAACAGGACGACATACATACTTATAAAATATACTTATAAATATATTATATACACATAAAACATGTTAATGTATTAAAGTATTATTAAAATAAAGACATATAGAGAAAAAAGATCAACGTTCGGATTGACGTTATGATCGATTTGACGTATGCATATCTGCATGCTTATAAACTGTGTTAGAAAAACAAATGTGCGTCGTAATGATATCATTAAAATTCGTATGACAAATATCAGCATGTATGGTGTAAGCGTTAGCGATCATAAAGATTCCTTATACCCTTGTTAGAAATGGAAATGGAAATGGAAATGGAATAGAAATAAATTTAATGGAAAGGGAAAAAGTATATATAACATTAGGCACAAAAATACGATGATCATGCGTTACCTGATATAACACACTCCTTTCACTTGAAATCTCTTCTACCTTAACTAAGGAAATGCTTACCTTGCCTGCTAATATCACTTTCTGCTTCAATCGCAGCACGTCTCATTTCATTGAGGAACTCCGTAGTTGCATACGCTGTATTAAGAATAAACAATTACATGCATATGTCAAATTTGGCAAAAATACACATGCGAGAGAGAATATTTCTCTTAGTCTTATACAAGAATTACTTATTAAATCGGGAGTATCACAAAAATCCAAACGTAATTGTACAAAATATATATGCAACATATGAACATGCTAAAATTCCAAAAACTCAAAAGACCGTTACTGTACTACTTTACATTTCATATAATATTTTTTAAACAAACCTTTCTTTGTAACGATATACAATAATTAAGTCTTTGTAAATTTGTAGTAAATTTAAAATGTACTCACCGTCACTTAAAACGACTTCTGGTTGACTGGGCGCAGGCACTTGTTTCGTTTCTATCCGTAAAACTCTAGGTTCTGTCGATACAAAATTAAAGGATATTAATAAATTTCTATATTTCTTTTTTTTTTCTTCAATTATCAATTATTATTAAATAGTAATTTGTCAAAAGTATAGGAGGGTGATATCGTGTTTAAAAGTACTTTTTTATATTTTAACAAATCAATAACAAAATTCTCTGACTTTTATTACTGATATGAGTTTGTAACATAAAAATATCACTCACTGTGTTATGCAAATACGCAATCTTTTACGCAAATACGCAGAATCCAGTAAAATGATTGGAATAAATCATAAAATACAATCTATTCATCTATCATAATCATCAAATAGATACAACATTTAAATTCCAATGTGAACTCCAATCATGACAATGATTACATGGAGTTAAATATATTAAAAAATACAATGTCATAAATGATTCATATGTAGAAAATGTACTAAAGGATGCTTAATAAATTTTGTTAAAATGTTCTTTTTAATTCGTTAATGTAATTGTCTGAGCCGTTTAAATGAAACATTATATATTTAATAATTTCTCTTACCATCTCTACTCTCTTCCTCAGTCTCTGATGTAACAGAGACTGGTGATTGAATTGGACTCTTGGCAGTGCTAGATTCGTGTGTTGCACGACTGATGTTAAATGACGACAATGCCTCAGATTCCGATTGTGATTCGTCATCTAATAATAAAAAGTTCATTAAACAAGTGTGTCTCTTTTTCTTTGGAAGAAAATAAAAATATATATTTTATAAAAACAAAAGCATTGTTATAATAAATATTCTATGCTTACAAGGATCGCCCTTCTGCTTGCGCTCTATCTCCTTCTTATATTGATCTAATTCCTGATCTGTAATGGCATCAAATGGATTTTTGGCGTAAGGTGTCTTGTAAACCATTGCATTATGTTGAAACCCTCTTTGTATGATACCCTTACTAGCTGCTCCTACAAGTACAACTTGCTCTCCAGTACCACTGATCGTAGCATCCTTGAAAATAATTAAAGAAATTTACAAAATATAAAATTAAAAATCAATCAAATGTAGAATGTGTCATAAAAGTTTGTAAATATTTAAAAAGTGGAATTATAGTTCTTTCAATAATATATTCATGTAATATATAAATCCTAAAATTTATACCTGCATTTTTTTCGCTTCTTCCCACGTTACACCTTCCAATATGTGGGATTGTGGTCCAGCTGATATTTTATCTGCTCTACGATAGTCTTTTATCTAATGAAGTAAAAATAGATGCGTACTTATGTTATATTAATAAGATATAGATATATATACATCTGCTGAATAATTCAGAAAAGTTAAAATAATAAATTGTAAATACATATTGAGTATTTTTGATAATAATCTTTCTATCATTATCATTAGAATTATTTTGTTCCATTGTATAAAATATAAATTTACTTACCTGCTGTTGAATTTGTTTGAATTCTTTCGGATTAGTGTTTTTAGGTACAAACTGGAGAGCACCATCAATCTTCACTGGGGTACTGCTATGGGTCGGAGATCCATCGGACACCCACTGCACACAAAACCAGAGCATTAGAGTTGACCCCCTTTGATATATTTTATCAATATCATCATTTATCAATAAATAATACATACGATTGCGCAGTGAAAATTTAAGTACTGCATGTAATGTGTGCCTGCGTTGCATATTTTTCTTTAAACTTTAATATAATATTTCTTTCTGTGTGGGCGCTGATTTTAAATACTTTTAAATAAGAAATTTATATACATATACATAAAAAAAAATCTATTTATTAATATAATATTTAATTTTGTTCAGTATAATTTGTTAAATTAAAAATATTACTACAAAAAACTCCAACTGTATCAAATATACTTAAAGGGTCATTTCACCTGGTTTTGTAAATGCAGTGGATGTATACCGAGGTCATGGAGAATTCGAAGACACGACCGACCAGCAGGCACACATTCATACAGGTTTCAATCCGACGAATTCTATTACTTTCTATACAGCATACATGATATATCAAAAAACCAAAATAAATGCATAACTAATAACGTGCAAATGACACCAAGAATGACTACCCGTCTAATTTAATAAATTTTGATGAATATATCTGCAATTGTACATCACACTCGTGCACACGCACCATTCTTTGTTTATTGCTTATTTAGATATGTTTTGAATAGTTAAAACATTGTTGAGACATATTAGACAACGGATTAAACTTTATTCGATTCATGAATATATATGCTACAGAAGACAAAATAACGCACAATCCTATATATCCTATATATATATATATATATATATAGGATGTATGTATGTATATGTATATGTATATTAAATATACACTTACATATATTTATAATTATAAAGTATTATGTATACTTCACATTTATCCAGTATTCACTGGTAACAATATTTGCTTTGTACTCATTTTTATGCCAGATATAATAATCTACTTTTGTTTTTGTTTTTTTTTTTTTTTTTTTTTTTTAACAAAGTACATACAAATAACAGAAATGATCATTCTAATAAATAATATTAAAAGTAACTATTGTAGTTGAATCAAATCCTAGTGATAAAAAATATTATTCTGCAACATATTAATTCGATTAATAATAATAAACAATGAAATAAACGATGGTGCATCATTCTAAAACATGATAATGTCTTCTGAAGTCATCTAAATATTATATATATATATATATATGTAAAGGATTGATCCTTTTTTATTAGATCTTCCATGTATAACGATATAAAATTTCACAAGATACATCCATTAACACATATTTAATATAAGATACGATATTTGTTGTATATATTAATTCATCAACTATTTAGAATTACTTTTATTTGTTTTCGTAACAATATTAAGCATAAAGACTAGGTGATATATAAGATGGGCAATATAATATTAAAAGCTATATAGAAACATTAAACGCATCATTGTTAATGGAATGACGCATGAATGGAATGCATGAAAATACATAAAAATAAAGAAGAATCAATTGAATAATATAATTTTCCTTCATTAAATGCAATGTGTGTAGCTTTTATTCCAAATATATATTAGTTTTGATGATTAATATTATATTAAGGCAATAAATTTACATGATATGTTATACATACAAATCATACAAATTTCATTTGACTTAATATATGAAAAAGCATAGGAGTAGCGTTGATGTAAAGTATTATTCGATAACTATATAGGAATATTTATAGGCGAGTATTATATTCCTTATGTATCTTCAGAAATGTATTTTATAACACATATGATCTTTACAAAGAGAGATAGAGATCTGTGAAGACAAATTTTGATTTAACTATCGAAATACGATGACTTTAGCTGCACACATTTAAAGAATTTTTCATTTATACATATTTAATATATACGCGGCGTATGGCATTCATCAAATGTTATTCGCGTTATATGCGATTTATCAATGCTTACTCGTTTTTATTCTCAAAAGTAATAACTTCTACCTTTGTAATTTTCTTCGGATCAGGAGTACCAGTTTCCAATATCTCCACCTTTTGATACACATTCGGTGAATTTAACCAACGTGACCTATCGGTACCTTTACGACCACCTTTCCAAAGCCTATACAATAAATAGGAATAAAAATCAGATTTATAAGAAATTAGTTTTAATATAAATAAAGTGTCCAGGGGTAAAACAAACATGCTCCATTAAAATTAATTTCATCATTTAGGGAAATAATTTGCTTTCAGTTCAATAATTGTTTCAGTAGCTATAAACACATTAACACATAACATATATTCGTGTATATGTATGTGAAATTTTTATATCAAAAAAAGATTTATTTTTAAAAATATTTTTCTGAACTCATGAGAAAACATTCATAAAAAAACTCTTACTTAATCTTAGTAGTAGTAGTAGTAACAATTAAATAAAAAACGAATTACTTACCCCTGCTTATACAATTCTTCTTCTTCGAGCAAATATCCCAAAGATGAAACTGCTGGTGGTACCTCTACATCGTTTCGTGGTTTTGGAGGCTCTCCTTTTACAAGTGGATTTCTATATATATAACCTGTGCGAAAACCCTATAAAGAAAAAGAAAGCGACATATGTAATAATAATTTTCTATATGAATGAAAATGCATAAAAATAATAAAATATAAATATTGAAACATAATTATGAAAGACTTACGGCATTATCGAGCATCCTCATAAGCGCTTCAAATTCAGTTCCACCTATTCTCCAACGTTTTTCTAATTTTTCAGTAATTACTGTTGACTCTGGTGCTGCAATATGTTGTTGAGGAATTGGAGGCTTTCTTGATGCTTCGAAAATCGTTTTCTTCGATTCTTCCGAAATAAGATTTAAATTGTCTAGACCAGCTGGCATTAATTTTAATTGCGTTTCACAGGCCAATACAGTATTGTATACATTGTAAAACGCTTCTTCGACTGTTTCACCACAACAGAGAGCACCACGATTAGTTAATAACATGACTTTGTTTATAGGACCAAGATTTCTAGTAATTTTCTCTCTTTCTTCTGGGTCAAGCATTCCACCAACATAATGATGCGAACTTACTTCACCGATAACTATACTTTCCTGTCCAATTGGCAGTAAACCACATTTTAAGGAAGAAATCTATGAAGAAGAAAAAAAAACCAATAAAATTTTATAACAATGAACATTAAAAAGGATAATTAAAAATAATATTAGATCAGTAGAAAATCTAATTAGACATATGATTTAAATGTGAACGTGAATAACTTACAGCAGTAACGGACGGAGTAGAAATATGAATGATACATTTGATGTCAGGTCGAGCAGCATGTATCGTTGAATGTAATTGAAATCCCATAAGATGTATACCAAAATTTGTTGTTCCTTGTTCAACGACAGAACCTTGCATATCGACCTTAATCAAACTAGAAGCCGTTATTTCGTGATAAAGTAATCCAAAAGGATTAACCAAAAAGTGTTCTTGATCCTGATTTAAGCGGGCCGTCATTTGACCGCCTACATTTTGTGTCCATCCATATAAATCGAGTAATCTAAATACCGCAGCAAGTTTACAACGCAATAACTTTTCACCTTTCGCATAGCCCATACTCTCGACTCCGCGAATATCATTGATAGGCACGACACAATTAGAATCTAAAATTTATAAATAAGAATTTAACGAAATTCTTTCAGTATACCTTACAACAGCCAATAAATCAACTTTTAATATTTTTATTTGTATTTTAATATCATGAATAAGAATACTTAGTTACTTCATATCAAATGGAATAATATCAATGGATTCATTTGTTCGCTTAGGCACTTACTTTTAAATACATTTCCATTGAAACGTGCTCCTTGTGCACCCATCATATCGGAGATCTGTTGTAAAAGACCTGAGGGTCCGGCGCCATCTTTCATTTGCGTTTCAATTATACGTTCCAATTCTTCCCTGAATAATCGTGAATTCATCATCATTTCGACTCTCTTTCTTCTTTCCATTTCTCTCATGTCCTACAAATAAAAAAAGAAATTACACACAAATCGTGTCATATTAATTAAGAAATTTATGCAAAAAATCTTTGTCATTTTAACTTTTCTTTACAATTTATAACAACTTTAGGTAGAAAGTATAAGTATTAGTAGTCAACTCAATTGATATTTCAGGTATATAGTTACTCTCTCTCTCTCTCTCTCTCTATATATATATATATATATATATAAAGCATTACTTACAGCATCAATGTCTGCAGGCCTTATTTTGCTTTTTTCTTCCTCTGTAAGCCCATCCATTGCCCCATTTGTATGAGGTTCCGAAAGTTCCTGCTGACTTGTATCCGCCATTTTTTATTTTACGTATTCGACGCTACGACCTGGAAAAAATAAATAAAATAAATAAGAAAGAGTGATATGTAGAAATATTTTTATTATATCTGTATTTTTTCATTTTTATTCCATTTTATCATCATAAACCTAATTGTTACTTTATATAAATTTCTAAGAAAGATTCTGAAAGTTCCTGTTGACACATATCCACTATTTGATATTTTTCCGACTCTATGCTTCCTTCTACAACTTGGTGAAAGTTAAAAATAATAATAAAAAGAAGAAAAAGAAAATAACGTACAAATATATTGAATTGAAATAATTGAAATCAAACAATATTGTATAATTATTATTATAACATATTATAAAATGAATAAAAAGCAATAATATTGAATCCAGAATTTGAATTTAACATTAATGATTTTGAAGTAGAACTTATATACTTATTGTACCACCACATTATAATACTATAAGTATAGAATTTGATTGGTATAAAAACTAAAAAATATATGCAAATTTTTCTCCTATTAAAAATCTATGCACATCAAACTGAATTTTCAGGTATGCAATCTCATTTGCGAATAAAACAGAAAAATCATTTAGAAATAAAATGAAAAGGAATAAAAAAAATTGTCGATTGTTTATTAAAGAGAAACTTAGAGAACTTATAGAACTGCTATTGGTTATATTGAAGAGATTATTGCGTTACGACTACCGGAATTAGACCATGTTCTACTATTCACCGAACTATAAATAATTTGTAACTCGTAGATCACTCTTATGACTAAACGTTTTATTCTTTACTCGACGTGTTTGCTCAAGAAAGAAAAAAAAAAAAAGAAATATAAGATAAGTATAAACAAGAAAAAGTTACAAAAATGAAATTAATTCAAATTTCAAATAATTCTTCATTTACCTTTGAAATATATGTATACGAATTTCATTCATACAATGTATAATATAACACAAGTTGGGCATAGATTTCATTTGTTTATAATACATTTTCTTTCAATTTAAAATAGATTGAAATTTATATTGGCATACAAAGTAAAATAAACCAATAAATAATACAAAACATATAGACTCGTTTTTAGTTAAGAAATATGTTTAACCAAGAGTCACTTTACCCAACTGTAAAATTATACACATCTTTTTTGGCGAGTATCGTAAAACTGTAATTTCACATTTTTAATTGAAATAAAAAATTAAATCTAAAAGAGCTAACTAACTTCAACTAAAACTAAATGTATTCAATTTGAAGATGATAGATTGATGATAACTTTATACATAATTTGGCTTAATTCATTAGAAACGTTGGAAGCCCTTTTTTTGTTTCCAGTTATTATACATATATCGTGCCTAATTACAGAGATGCGTCGTTTCCGGTTTTAACGGGCGTAACAAGAACCGATGATACGAGATCTCATTCGACTTTAAGTACTTATGTAGATTATTTCAATAATAAAAATCCTAACGGTGATTTTTTCTACAATTCACGTTGTAACGTAACTTCGATAAATGGCTTTGACCTATCGTAATGACTATCGTTATGACGATGAACGTAAATAAATAACACCCACACACACATACTATAATTAAATATTATAATAATAATTAAACAGTGCACGCGTATACCTATTTAATGTATTATTATAGATATAAGTTGAGCAGTGTGGCAAATCCTTTTCACTAGTTTTCCTTTATTTTTTCCTAAAATTCGACTATAATTACTATGTCCATGAGCGTTCTTCTTCGTACACACCCATGAAGAATCATTTAATTAAAAAAGACGAATGTCCAACAAGCATACATGTGTAGTGTGAACGTGACACGCCCAAAGTTCCAATGACGATCGTTGGTAGGACGACGCTTCGTTAGACTTCAATGCAAATATGCTATGTTTCCAAATTTTTATACACACAGGTACATACTCGTATTTTAGGATCATTCAATTTTTAAATTGATATCATTTTCATTACAAAAGATTATTTTCATTATAAAAGTTCAACTTTGGTTGATCTTTTGAGTCATTTACTAATCATTATTCCATAAAAGCATACTTTTTCCAAACCTGATATTTATCCTATTAAAAATTTATTCTACGAGCAATAACTCAAATTAGCATAAATGTTAGTTAATGATTTTTGCTTGAACTTAGACGACATGTAGATATTATAGAAAAAGTATAAGTTATAATCTTGAATTCCATTTAAATTACAGCCAAAAAAATTTTTACATTGTTGAAAATCTCATTTAAATAGTGGCAATAAAAAAAAAAGAAGTAATACGAGGATAAACGAGTTATGAAATCATTTTTTATGGTAATATGAAAAAATAAGGAATCTAAAAACATAAATGGTCTTAGAACACCTACGTTTAGGTAGGTAGACGTTTACTTTTCTACTACTTGCACCCAATTGGGTGATCATGATGGTCATTCTCCTGACACAGAAAAACATAAATCTATTGTACTTCCTGCACGGAATATTAAAATATAATATAGTATTTTAAGTCATTTTAGTATATTTATTAATTCAAGTTCAGTTTAAATAATTCCAAATTCATTTTATCTTACTGTTATAATGGAAGTTATATGTATATATGTATACACACATAATTTAGTAATATATAAATGTGTATATGCACGCGTGTACTACTAATACAGCCGATGACGACACGTCTCATGTTCCTGTATATTGGATATGCGGCTTTACACGCATGACGTGGCCTCAATGATTGCAACGAACCAACACTAACGCTCATACATTTATTATTATTATTATTATTAATAATATATAATGTATAATATATATGTTCTATTCTATATTTTATATATTCCCGAGTTTGTGTTTTATTTAAGAAGAATAAAAGGTTTCTTGTTGAGGCTCTAAACTTTTCAACCCACTCACTTATATGTGCAAAGTTAGACCGTTGCACACAAAAATATTATATAAAATATTTTTTAATAATTTTTCGCATTTAATAAGCGAAATAAAAATGGACACAATTGAAAAGAAAATTGGTCTTATAAGAGATATGCCCAATCGTCTGAAAAACATTATAAAATGCAAAAAAGAATCAACCAAACAATAATTATATTTTTCTAACAATAAAATGTTCTTCTGTAATATAATTCATATCAATTTGAAAGTTTAATAATCCTTCAATAGGTTTCTGTGAATAAGAATTTTGAAGCTTGGCAGAGTACAAATAAATATCAATTATTTCTAATTTACAATGGGAATAAGTACGAATACATCTATGACTCACTGTATATATAGTATTAATCGTTGCACACGATGTGTTATTAGTAAATGTGTGTTGTAACACTATGCAATGTTGTGTGTATCGTTAAATTGACATTAGTTAGAAGTACGATCTTTCACATGTGACATTAAAGAAGTTTCTTTGCTTTCTCCGATAGTCGTTTGATTACACAAAAGAAAGAAAAAAAAAAAAAAAAAAGAAAAAGAAAGAAAAAAAAAGAAAGAGAGACAAATAAGACAGATATCGGACAATGACCGGAATATACTAGAAACTTTCAAAACAATAATCAGCATTATTTAAGCATGAGAGAAATCGTTTGGTTGTTCTACATTATAACGCTACATAAGATTTTATAAACGTCTTATAAGACGATTAATAGCATCGAATCTACTAAGAGATACTCTGCAATTTGATCTTATCGTCGTCGTCGTCGTCGTCGTCGTCGTCGTCATCGTCATCGTCATCGTCATCGTCATCGTCTATCGATACTCGATATGATTGAGATAGCCAACTTAATATTTATTACGATGTTATGTTACATTTGAAATTTTTCAATAAATATTTCATTGAAATCTAAATTGAAACATTAAATTATATTTAAAACAACCTAATAGTAATAAAAATAACGATAGTAGTAATACTAATTAATGAAATACTACCATCTAAAACTAATTATATATGAATTAACATACTAGAAAATAAGATAAAATTTTGTGATAACTATATATTAATTATCTTTTAACGAAACGAACGATAATTCTAATCTACGTATATATCAATTAAAACTTGAAATTATTGACAAAATTTGTAAAACAAAAAATTTCATAAACGAAACATGAACAAGTTTATTACGGATGCTGGAAAGATTGAACGGGATAGGAACTACTTAACAGAGTGTGCGTATGGTAGATGGTAGAGAGGTGGAGGAAGAAGTAAGAGGGGTTTATGTGACGCTTCGAACTCGATACGCTCTCTTCTTCGTAATGGCAGGAAAACGAATAAAGTCTGCAAAAGAAAGAGAAAAAATGGAAAAACATTACAAACAAAATATTCCGAATAGAGTATCGCTTTCAACCATCAATAGGGAGGAATAGGGACAAGCGTACCGTTGTTAATACCACGATCCGTTTCTACTCCTACTCCTACTCCTACTCCTACTCCTATTTCTATTTCTATTTCTATTTCTTCAACTTAAAGATCCATTTTTTAATAGGACACTTCGAATAGATTTATTTAGCCAAGGCATTGGTCGATCATTGGACAAATGAGTATAGAAATATGATATTGGGATAGTAAAAGAAACAAATTACGGTATTAAACGCGAGCGAACAAGAGCCATAGTAATACGGTATAGTAAAGGTGGAGAGTGGAGGTGAAAGAGGAGGTGGAGAGATGGAGGTGGTACGAACCGCTCTGATGATGTTGATCGGTGCTGCTGAACCGGATTTGACATGACACACCCCTCGTTCGTCACACTACGTAATTTCTCGTACAAACATTCGTCGTCGATACGAAAGAAGACGACGATTCCTTTTCGTTCTACTATTTCTCAATTTGTGTTGTATGTCAGCGGATCGTACATGATGCGTACGTAATTAAACAAAAAATGGAATAAAAATGTACATACATACTAGATATACGTAATTACGTTTACTTACCTATTACACAAAAACACACAAATGTCGTAGGTGATAATTATTATCCGATACTGCCCCGGTATTTTAGCAGGAGTGTTCCTTTAACGTGCCGTAGCTGTAAAACCGCCTTCTTAAGAGGGAGGGAAGAAGAGAGAGAAAAGGAGAAAGAGAGAGTGAAAAAACGAATGAACGGTCCTTCCGTTCGGCGGATAGCTTCCCCGTTACGAAGACGATATTCCTCGAAAACGATGAACTAACGGTAGCCAAGCCCTTCTTTACTTAACTTTCCTTTTCCCTTCCTCGCTTATCCTCCACCCAAACCCCAATAGAGTCCTCCACCGCCGTTAAACCGGCCAATCTTTCCGTTCTTCCGCTGTCCTTAACTTCTCTTTACTTAATAGCTTTTTTTTCTTTTTCTTCTTCTTCTTCTTCTTCTTCTTCTTCTTCTTCTTCTTCTTATTTTTATATCTTATTCTTCTTATATTTCCGCTTTGCTTTCCTTTACTTTCAAGTTTCCCCACACCACAGAGAGCCGTCGTCCACACGAGTCAATCCCCACCAATTCTTTTGATAGGACGACTTATTATACACAGTTGTTTTCTTTTTTCTTTTATTAAACCCGAGCACCGAAGAACGCGAATTCTCAACGTGGAATCGCGATCCCCAGATACACCCTTTTTACATGCAGATCTTTTTTATTATAGATCCAGGAAAAATCGCATAACTGGAGCCCCCGTTTCCACTGCACGATAGCGTTCGTTGACTAATAGCATAAGATCGATCCGTTCTCTCTCTCCTCGCACTCATTCCCCTCTAATCATGGGTTAACACCACCGACACAACCAACACACGCGTCTTTATGACTTTAGTTTACTCCGCACGCCAATATTACGTCGCGTGGCGCTTCGAACGTCATTCCTCTGTCCAAACATTTCAAACGGCTGATATTTATCGCTTTTATCTGATTGGATGTTACCATTATTTGTCCATTAGGTCAGAAACCGTTTCATTATACCTGATTGGTCTAGCGTTTAAATGCAACGTCATCTATGGTTTTTTGTTCCTCCAATCATAAAAAAGCTTTTTATATCGTTTTATTTAAAGACAAGATTATTGGATGACAATATGATATTCAATATTTTAAGAAATATCTTTTAAATATAACGAACACATATTCTGTTTATATCGTTTGCACATTTAAACAAATACAATAATAATATGGAATTTGATTATTACTTTTGATCTATTCTTTGAAGAATATAAATATGTTATTGTGATATTAAAGTTAATAATAAAATATAAAACGAATAAATATATAAGGAGTAAAAGTAAAATTCGCTTAATTATATTTAAAATGTAAAATATACTTATGATGACAATTTCATGTCACTCTCATCTCAGGTGAGATCGTTACATTAATATTAACGTTTCGAAAAATATTAATAAACCGGTAGATTTAAAACCGGTTTATTTCGTGGCTTTGCATACTATTATGCGTTTATAAATAGAAATTACATAATTGAAAACCAATGTCTTGTCAAGATATAATTTTTCGCTTTACAATAGTCAATTCTGAAGAATTATTACGCTTAAAATTATTTACAGCTCTTCCAAGGAAAGATATAATAATAATAATAATATACTTAGTAACAATAATGACAGAGATAATAAAAATGACAACGAAGACTAATACAAACAACACAATGATGAAAATTATAGTGAGGTCATGGTATTGGCGAGGAAGACAGTGGGGGAGTCTCTTTTAATCATGCACGGCCAGGGCCAATGATTCATACGCAGTAGCATCACATTTGTTTCGCGTTTATATTGCGCTGTGGTCGTTATCGGGAAACCGCTAAATTTCTAATATAATATCCTTTTATTTGATTCAATCTATTTCTTTAAGATATAACGTCATTTGTGTTAACTCATATCGCGTAATGTATTGCGTACAATCGTTACGTCCTGCACAGCGTATTCGGCAATGTATCCTATGGATGAACATCTGATCGTGCATCGCGTATTCAGTTACATATGCATGCATTCATGTATGATATAATTATGTACGTATATAAGTATGTATGTATGTGTGTATGTTTATATGTATGTAGGTAATATGTGACGTATGATCGTCCAAAGATTTATTTATTCACTTGTGCACGTTTCTACCACGTTGACGTTGAGCTCTAACGATAAGAGAAAGTAACGGTAGCGAAACATTGTTCACAGGACGATGTCTCTCTCTCTCTCCCTCTCTCGACATCAATATTTTCATTAATATGTTGATAATATTGGTGACGGTTCTACTACTGACTAGACCATACAGTGTAAATAATCAGTGTTTAATCTATTATTGTTAAAAAATAACAAAAGACTCATTGATCGTTCGTTTTATGTAAGCCTCGCGATAATACATAGAAGAATTTACTTATGTAGACAGGGTTTTTATAATATTTCCCGAACAATATAAATTGCTTCCATTTGATTTAATCAAGATTTTGATTAGACTACAACAGTATTAGATGCTCGGCATTGATTGAAATCGTTGATCGACGTAAGTATCGCCATTTCGATAGCGGAACGGAATGTTATGTCCTTGATTTGATTAGAATTTAAAAAGCCATTAATTTGTTGTACGTCTTTCTAACAAGTATTATCTTTGGTATTTCTAAATAAAATATAAATAAATATTATTCAATTGTAGCATTAACCACAATTCTTTTATCACGTCCTTTAATTAAATTGACTAATTGTATTAATCTTCCTTTAGAAGTTCACAGTTCCCTAGGCACACTCGCAACGCTTATCTCGCAAAAATGCATATTTGCATGATTTTTTCAATATTCTTGTGGGTTGGCTTAACATTTGTACATATTATCGTCTTATTTAAAAAAAAAAAAAAAGAAGTATATTGAAATTTTCTAAACCAACGCGTTTCTCAATCTTTTTCGGCTGTGTAATTTGAGTGATACCACGGCCTAAATGATCAGATTCCAATCAAATCTAAAATTAATCATTATCCTTAATTTAGTATAAGGTAACATTTGGAGAACTCGCAAAATATTGAGCGAACTGCTGTTAATAGATTGAGAAACAAGTTGTTTTAAAAGATACACATTTCTGTCTCATATATAGTGAAATCAAGGGTGCAAAACTGCGTACTATTTGGTTCTTGAAAACATCAGAATGCCATTATACTCGAGATCGGACAACTGGGCCTCGAAGCTAGTGATCGTTCTACAGTTCACAGCTTGGATCTCAGTTGGCATAGTTCTTCTTCAAAAAGGCGTTACCTCCTTACGAAGTCAGTCCATGATAGAGACAAATAGCAACACTCAGGTATAGAACTTTAATACATAAAATAAGAAAAATGTCTATTATATTATATCACCTGATAGAAAAATGACGTTAAATCATTCGCGACAATTCACAACTTACGTGTTAATAGCCGTAGTCTAAGTATTTCTATAATAGAATATCAGTTTTTCCGATCCACAAATATGAAGCGTTCCAATATGAGAATAGGGAATTTCAAGGGAATTTTTCCAACTTTGATGCGTATCGATTTATATCATAACAACCGATCAAATGACCAACCCTTATCAAGATTTTATAATTGAATAAAAGTAATAATCAATTTGATTTTAATAATAAATAAAAACAAACACAAAATTTATAAATAATGGTAAAATAATATAAATCGTAAATTAACGGATTTAACCTGGCGAAAATGAACGGGTTAAACATTATCAGAAATAAAAGTCAATTAATTGACAATAAAAATGTCGATATCTGAGCTATTTTATAGGAACTATATATTCCCTTTCTTAGGAAACAAACGATACGACGATGAAATATTTAAATGAGAAAACGAAGAGAACGACGGATCAAGAAGACTTATCTAGCTATATTTCCAAATCTAAAGAACATTCAATAAAAAAGTTGTTAAAATCATATCCAGAGAAAGCAAATGATAATATTATATTGGAAAAACATTCGAGTAGACATTTAAATATTAATGGAAAGTATTACGAAGATAGCGGTGATAAAATCTCGGATATGAATTGGCTTACGAAAGAATCGAAAGAAAATAAACAAGAAGAGGAGAAGGATATAATGAATTTAAATAAGATAGTCACTCGCACCAGCATTAATGATTCATCGATATATTCTAATGAAACGCAAGAATACAAAATTACCACCGTTGATTCCGAAAAAAGGAACAATTCTAATGTAACAAGTTTGAGAAATGGAAAAAAATTACGTGCCCGTATGAGCAGCGGTGCTGCGGCCGCCATTGCTATGGTTGCTGTTGGTGCTGCGATGCTCGTTGTTGGACCTATGGTTATCGCTTTACGGGCACTCGATAAAAGACGACAAGAAAGGAGATACTTAAAATCATTGGGGTGGAATGATCAACCCCCTACTTATGAACAAGCAACATTAATGAGCGAAGTTCCGAGATATTCCACCTTAAATTTGAACACTACCGTCCACAGTTCCTGCGTTGCATCTCCGTCTGCATGTTTACCCGCAAACACTAGCTAAAAATCTCCCTAGGTTATTATTTTAATATACTCATCACAATGCATACACTTTCTTACGAATTATAATCTTTCTCTTTCTTTTTGTCTTAATCATGTAAGTATACAGGTTCAATGCACATTATATAAGTCATTTTATATTTCACAAACAAAGACCAAAAGCACTGAATTTTATCGTAGATGTATTATATTTCGTTTCGTTTCGTTTCGTTTCGTTTCGTTCCCTTTTTTATACATACATATACATTATTAATTTAATTAATTTCAAAGAGAATTAGATTTCGTATTTACATATAACATGTTAATAAAATTTCTTTGAATTTCGTGCACATCGGCCAATTGAAAAAAATGAATCTTCGAAATAATCGAAGCAATTGGTATGGTGCCTTAAAACTATATAATTAACTGCCTAAAACTCCATAATATTATAAGGTGTATATAAATATAATATATATATATATATATATATATAGATCTGAATATATAGATATATATATAGATCTGAATTTTTGTTAATAGGATAATGAATGAAATATATTTCTCCTTTTTTTCTTACTTATTTAAATCAACAAATTAATCAACTGATTGTAAAATAATTAACAACTAGTAAAAATCGTTTAAGCGTTTATCAATGCAATGCAATGCAATGTTTACAATAATTTATGATCAATATTATAAATTAATTAGATATTTTATAATCGTAATTTGTTGTTTTAAGTTGAAACAACATTTTTTTTATATCGTTATGTTGTTATAAGCATACGATGTTTCGAGTAGGAAATGATTGAAGTATTTAATTGAAAAAAAGAAAGAAATTGATAAGTAAATAAAACCCATCTGATTTCTCAATCGATTATTTAGAATTGTCAACAAATAATTATTTATATAATTTTTAAAATTGTGAATACATATTCTAGTCGAATTGAACATAAGATAATAATAATAATAATAACATTAAATTATAAATATAATAATGCAATTATTATTATTATTATTATTATTATTATTATTATTATCGTTATCGTCATTATTATTAAATACTGATTTGAAAAATTTTCAAAAGTACTACGTTTTATTTGAGAGAAAAAATAATTGTTTATTTATAAATTTAGTATGCACTTTCGTGCCTTTGCTAATTATTATTATTAAACGTATTTCGCAGAAGATTAAGTCATTTGTTTAATTGAATATTTGAAAAAAATATGAAAATACATTTGACATCGTTGGTAATAGTAATATAGTAATGGCTACCAACGGTGAGATTGTCGAAGCGTTTTCTTTATAAAAATAAGTCGATAAATAAAGAATAATTAATATTTATTATAATTTCATTGAATAATAAGTGCTATCAAAAGAAAAATAAGATATTTTCTATAATAAATTGTATAACTATTTATTAACAAAGAAAGATGTTTAAAAAGTACGTAGTTATTAGTACATAACCTTTTTCTCTTTCATATTTTCAACATGTATTCATGTATATATATATGTTTATATTTAATGGTAATATAACAATATTCATGTAGATTTGATGAGAAGGATAGTGTATCGGGTATACAACAATTGAAATCATCGGTTCAAAAGGGAATAAGGTCAAAACTTTTGGAATTGTATCCTCATTTAGAAAGTCATGTGGATACTATCATTCCCAAGAAGGATGCTTTCAGAATTGTTAAGTGGTAAGATTTTTCCTAATGACACATTATATTGCAAATTTGTTATATTGACGAATGTAATAAATTAACAAAGGTGCAATGTTTTGATCATAGTCATGATCACATAGAAATTATAGTCAATGCAGCTGGTGAACTTTTATTCTTTCGACAACGTGAAGGTCCATGGATGCCTACGTTGAGGTTATTACACAAATGTAAGTTATTTATTTTTATTACCTATTTTTACATTTTATTATTAGACATCATTATTTTTAATACTTTAAGATCCATTCTTCTTACCGATGGAACAAGTTGATAAAGGAGCAATCAGATTTGTACTTAGTGGTGCAAATATTATGTGTCCAGGTTTAACGTCTAAAGGTGCTAAAATGACACCAGTAGAAAAGGGAACCGTTGTTGTATCCTTATGAAAAAATATTATAACTTATTTCTTATCTTATTAGTGATTATTTTATACAATTGAAACACAACTTAATAATTTGAATATCATATTTTGTTTGGTTTTGTTTTGTTTKTAAATCGTCATTATCAAATTGTAGAAATTTATTCTTTTATAATTTTGGATATACCAATTCATATATTGGTATAAATTTCATAGTTTTATTCATGAAATATTAAATAAAAACTTAACAAACAACTAGGCAGTTATGGCAGAAGGAAAACAACATGCTTTAGCTGTGGGAGTAACTACTCTATCAACGGAAGATATGTAAATAATGATTTTTCAACTTTTAAGCATTTTTATCCTTATTTTTTCAATATATATATATAAACATAGTTATATTAAATTATCATTTACAGAGCCAAAGTGAATAAAGGAGTAGGAATCGAAAATTATCATTATCTAAATGATGGGCTATGGCAAATGAAGCCAGTCAAGTAAAAGAGATAAATATTGTAATAAGAATTCGTATGCATCACACAATAAGATTTATATATTATATGAATAAACTCGTTTTTTTTTTTTAAATATAATCTTGTATTGTAAAATGTCATAGCAATTTTACAATAGATAATCAAAAGATTACATTTTTATTATACAAATTACATAATCTATTATATTTATTTATATGTTATGTTTACTTAAGTGCGCTATTTTTTTTTAATTTTTTTTTTTTTTTTTTAATGAAAGCATGGAAATGGATAAAGTAATAATGAAAGAAATAAAAGAAAAAAAAGAAAAAAAAAGAAAAAAAAAGAAAAAAAAGAAAGAAAAAAAAAAAGAAATACACGCTTTACACAGAGCTTGATTTCATGTCAGTAGAAGTCTCCTGACTGTCAGGAGCATTAGTACGTTCATTTTCACAATGACCTGATGCTGGAGAATAAGATGAATTATTACTATCGGGGGTAGAACCAGAAGTAGTACCTGAATTGGATACACTATTATTAGCTGCATTACTTTCTCCTACGGTATGAGGGGATTGTGGATGATAATGTGGGCTATGTGGACTATGAGGACTGTGTGCATGAGGACGACTCATAGTATGTGGCGAATATTGAGAATATGGCTGATGATAATAGGGATGAGCATATTGGGGGTAAGGTTGATGATAAGGTTGCTGTTGCGAATAAGTATAAGAAGGATGTGGAGGTCTTGGGGCAAGTGGAACATTTTGCGGCTGTGGACCAGGTCCTGGTTGATATTGTTGGCCATATCCTTGATTAGGTGGTATTATAGGCGATGTATGTGGATTATTTACTGGTCCTTGAGGAAGAACCTGTGTTCCTTGTGTACCTTGAGATGTTTGATGTGGTGACATAGAATGGTTAGAAAGCATCCCTTGTTGATGAGGATTGTGCAATGGAGGTGCAGGCGAAGATACTGGAGGCATATTTGGTATGTTTTGAGTAGCGCTTACAGTTACAGGCACAGCAGAACTAGTAGTAGAATTAGATTGTTGTTGTTGTTGCTGCGACGATGTTGGAGGTACTGTTTGTTGATGAGATTGAGATTGCGATTGCTGGTGAGACTGAGGTGAAGGCTGATGAGAAGGCTGATGGGAAGGTTGATGAGAAGGTTGATGAGAAGGTTGATGAGAAGGTTGATGAGATGGTTGATGAGATGGTTGATGAGATGGTTGATGAGATGGTTGATGAGATGGTTGATGAGAAGGTTGCGGTGAAGGTTGTTGATGAGATTGAGGTGGTAATTGATGGGGTTGAGGTGGCGGTTGTTGATGAGATTGAGGTGGCGGTTGTTGGTGAGATTGAGGTGGTGGTTGTTGATGAGATTGAGGTGGCGGTTGTTGGTGAGATTGAGGTGGTGGTTGTTGATGAGATTGAGGTGGCGGTTGTTGATGTGGTTGTTGATGTGGTTGAGGCGGTGGTGGTTGATGAGTTTGTGGCGATTGTTGTGGATGGAATTGAGGAGGTGGCTGCTGATGAGATTGAGATGGTGGTGGTGGTGGTGGGGGAGGTGGTGGTGGTGGTGGCTGATGGGCTTGAGGTTGTGGTTGTTGATGAGTTTGAGGAGGTGGTTGCTGATGAGTTTGAGGAGGTGGTTGCTGATGAGTTTGGGGAGGTGGTTGCTGATGAGTTTGCTGCGGTGGTTGTTGATGAGATTGGGGCGTTGGTTGCTGCTGTGGTTGTGAAGATGATTGTTGATGAGATTGAGGTGGTGGTTGTGGATGAGATTGAGATGGTGGTGGTTGTGGATGAGATTGGGATGGTGGTGGTGGTGGTGGTGGTGGCTGTTGATGAGTTTGAGATGATGGTTGTTGATGTGATTGAGACGGTTGTGACTGATGAGTTGGAGGCGGTGGTGGTTGTGAATGGGGCTGAGGCTGAGGTTGAGGCGGTGGTTGTTGATGCGATGAAGGTGGTGGCGGTTGCTGATGGGATTGAGGTGGTGGTTGCTGATGAGTTTGAGGCGGAGGATGTTGATGAGATTGGGGTGGTGGTTGTTGTGAAGACTGTGAAGATGGTTGTTGATGCGGTTGAGGTGTTACTTGTTGATGAGTTTGAGGGATTGGCTGTTGATGGGTTTGAAGCGGTGCCTGTGGATGAGTTTGAGACGGTTGTTGTTGATGTGTTTGAGGTGTTGGTTGTTGATGTGATTGTGGTGGTGATTGTTGATGAGATTGAACAGGTGGTTGTTGATGAGACTGAACAGGTGGTTGTTGTTGTTGTTGTTGTTGCTGCTGCTGCTGTTGTTGTTGTTGTTGTTGTTGATGATGTTGCGGCTGTTGTTGTTGTTGTGGTGATATCAGTGACATTGATGGCAATGGCGTTGGTTGTTGCTGTTGTGATGGTATTAATGACATTGATGGAGATGGTGTTGGTTGTTGTTGCTGCGGTTGTGGTGGTTGCTGTTGTTGAATTGGAGTAACAGATACACAATACATATTAGAATTAGATCCATGTTGATTTATCGGCTGATTTCCTTGTACAGTAGGGGATTCTGTTTTTGTGTCAGCATATGGAGGCGATGAATTTTCTTTCTTTATTTCATTATTCGGTTTATCAAAACCATTGGTCTTTTTATCAATCGTATCATTTTCAGTAGCCTGCAACAAAATATATGCATAAAGAAATTGAATATTTATTGAATATTGAATAAAATATATGAAGTATTAAATCTTACTTCAGATGTAGGTTCATCATTGAGGGAAGCTGGTGTTGGAGTAGGTGTAGAATTTGGTGTGGATTCATTTGATGCAGGACCATCAGAACGATTTTCTTCCGAACCTCTTAATCTCTCTCTCCTCAGTACTTCATATTGTCGTTCTACCATTTTATTAAATGTTTCTTCATCTACTGCTGGCCTACAATGCTGTAATAAATGTTTTTATTATAGACAGTCTAAATCAGTGATATATTCTGGCCATGGTTCAATAGAGTAAGTAATGCGGTCCAAACAACATTTTCCGCAATAGTTTTAATCAGTCTCTTTGATTGCTTACAGGCCGTGACGACGATTAAAACGAATTGGACATCAATAGTCTAAATATTAGATAAATATTAAAGCTTTTGTAAGACAAATTATTAAGAAAAATATTTGTTCATATAACTCGGAGGAAACATTTGTTTATCTTTCGTTAGAAAATGTATTTCTACAAAATGATGAAATTATTTACTTTTTTCAATTCTTCTTGAAACACTTCACTTGTTTCAATAAATTTCCTTTTCTTTGCTTCAAATTTTTCTTCTATTTGTTGTAATTCTGCTTCCAATTTTTTCTATAATTATAATAATTTGATGAATAAAATATTGCTTGTATTTTTATGTTATTTATAATTTTATATGTTATTTATTACCTGATGCATAGTTAAAGATTGTACTTGACGGCGTAAGACTTGCATTCTTTGAGTTGTAACTACAGAACGAACATCAGGAACAACGGTATCACTGAAGATCTCGTTAATAAGACGATGATTTCTGGTATAACGTGAATATGCCACATGTTTTACAGAATATCCATCATCTTGATCTAAAAGTTGCAAAAGTATTTCATGCAGATTTTGATCATTATTAATAATATGTATCGAACATACCATCCTCATCTTCTGCAGGTAAAATATCAATCCTTCTATCTTGCGCAGATTGATTTTTACTACTACCAGATGAACGTTCATGACTTTCTCGATCATCATTGTTTTGTTGGGCCGCACATAATGCTGCATTAGATAGAAAAATAAATGAGAAAAGTTTAGATTAAAGTGAATACCAATTATATAACCAACCTGATTTTCCTCTATTTTTAGCAGCAATATAAGCCAAATATGCTGGAGAATTATGATAAGTCTTCAAGCTTTTTTCATATTCCACCTAAATTGTAAAATATAGGAATTATATAGATATAAATAATTTGGAATAAAGTGTAAAAGAAAAATGATAATGAAGTTTCCATCAGGTATTGCTGTACGAAGAATCAACTACCTTTCGGTTTGTATCATAAGTTTTTAGTACATTTTGTATATGATATAGAATATAAACATAAAGTATACCTTTTCCGCTTCGTATTCCTCAATAAATTCTGTTTTATCTTCCTCTGGCAAATCTCTCCACATTTGACCAATTATTTTCCCTATTTCCCAAAGTTTCAATTCAGGATTTTGAGCTTTTACTTGATCCCATACTTTTCGACTGTATCTCATATATGGCATGAGTGGTTTTTCAGGTGGTTTTGGTGGTTTTGGCATTCGAGAATCTGCCTATTTATTTATCCATAATACATAAAAATATATATATATTATTTAATTATTAATTTCCTTAATCCTTCCTATCTTTTAACCCTTTTAGCTATGAATATTTTCTTCAGATGTATTGATTTTTATAAAAAAGATGATATGTAATTTTCATGATATTACGCTTGAAATAAAGAACATTAACCAATGCACCATAGTTTATATTAAACCAATCAAATTTTGACAAACTAGAGTGCTTACATGCTTACTCACATTTGTATTTTTTCCTACTTTTTGAGGTGTAAATCCTGGATGACTATGAGGAGTTTGTATAAAAGGACTTTGTGTATCCTTCTAAAATATGCATTTATCATTATTATTATTATCATTATTATTATTTAATTAAAATGCGAAATTAAATAACTGTAATTAAATAACGAAAACATATTTTACTCAGAAATACTTACACTGGTATTTGAACTACTACTACTTCCACCAGATGCTCTGAGACGCTCTGAATAGAATAATATTTATCTTTTTATATATGTGTTCAGGAAAATAATTAATCATAAATTCTTATACATGAAACAAAGTATAAATATAAAAACTTGAAACAATGATACTTACGATTGGACGCAACAACGTTTGATGTAGCCATTGATACTTGCTTATAATTCGGTGGTAATGCCATTTTGTATTGCAAAGAAAGTCAATTATGGACTTTTGATAAATAATATTATATCAAACACTATGTTTTTTTTTTTTTTTTTTTCCATATAAAAATGCTATGTAATAATTATATATAGGTTTTTTTTGTTAATACGCCACGTAATACGATGAACCGTAATCACCCCTTGTCACGATTTAATTGAATCATGCTTCTTCCAACTTCTGAAATTGAAGTTAAGTAAACGTTGAGGAAATATTTCACAATGTTGTATAAGTTGACTTAAATTTATAATATATTGCAATTATTAGAAAAACATGTAAAATAAACAAGTAATACATACATAAAACATTTCGGCGTCTCTAAGTTAAATCCAAGAACTTTTCAATAAGGTGGAAGCACCCATCATGAAAGAATTATTCTACTTTTTTATTTTGGTTACACCAAATCCCACCCATCAAGTAGGGGCGTTGCGATCGATTTATTCTCATCTTTCTCGCTCCTACTCTAGTTATTTTACTTTTTTATTTTAATTACAGCGATGTCAACTAGAGGCGCTGCAGTCTCTAATCACGTCCAACCATTGTTTTCATACTAGATACTAATTGGTTATTTGACTTGGATTAAGAAAATCTTATGTAATTGAACATGAATTCCACTAATAGATTTCAATTTTCATTGAAATTTGTTTATTTTCATTATATGATAACATTATTGCTAATGATTAATAAAACTTGTTAAGTAATATATCAAATATTAGAGGAACAGACTTATTGAAGATTTGTGTCCATCTTAGTTTTGTTTCTTCTATGGTCACAAATGAAAAAGAGGGTTACAACGATAATAAAATAGTAAATACGATGTGGTGTTAAAATCGGTTTAAACTGTCGACAAGATTTAGTGGATATAATTCATGTAATTATTTATTTTCTACATGCTACGACGTAAATAAAAACAGTATTTATGTAATAATAATTATTAAAACACACGACGCGTGTGTGTGCGTGTGTGTGTATGTGTGAGATTAGTATTGAAGTTAATCGAACGTAGAAATTTCTACATTTTCAAAACAGGCAAGAATCTCCGTTGCATATTGTCAAATAAGTCAAGAATTTTTATCATCATTTTTATATTATTAATTTATATTTTTTAATAATGTTTGATACAATCATTAATGTCATTTAAAATGACTTTTGTAAATTGTTATAAAATACTATACTTATACCATGTCGACCATGGTATTATATATTTTATATTTACTGTTATATAAATGTTTTATTTTTATGTTGTAAATACAATTTACTTACAAATATTATTTTTATTCCACTGTATCATTACTATATGTATATATATATATATATATTTGATTGTGTAATTTAATATCATTTTATTTGGTTAAAGTTTTTTTTTACAACAAGTAACAATGGAAGAAAAAGATAGTGCCGATGTATTGGGAGACGAAGAATCTGAAGAAACAGAAAATATAATAATAAATGAAGTCGACGGATTACCTAACTTGCATCCTAATTATGAACAATTAGAACTTGATTTTGAAGGAGAAAAAGGACATGGTTGTTTGAATTCAAGATCAATAGACGAATTAGTTCATGATGAAGATTTACCGACTTCTGTTATTGTTACAAATGTAGATCCTGGAGTGTTCAAAGTAGACGAATTAAAGGTAACAATGAATATTATTTTATCAGAATATAATATTAATAAAATTTGATATATATATATATATATATATATATATATATATATATGTTTAAAATGACTCGAGAGAAATGAATCGATAAAAAAAAAAAGATATATATATACCTTTTTGTAGTCTACAATAGAGGATCTTTTTAAACAATTTGGAGAAGACGCTACATTCCAATACTTTAAATCATTTAGAAGAATGAGAGTTAACTATAATTCTCCAAGTGCAGCAGCTAATGCTAGAATACAATTACATCAAACTCACTTTGGTGAAACTGATATTAATTGTTATTTTGCACAACCTGTAACACCGATAGGTATGTGTTATAGATATTTATACTCTATTCCTTAGTATCAATTTATAAGACTTTTTATTGGATAGATATGGAAGATCAACATCTTCAACCGCCAGCTCCTACTAAGCAGTTCCTAATTTCTCCTCCGTCGTCCCCACCCGTGGGATGGGAGCCACGCGAGGAAAATGAACCTTTAGTCAATCATGATTTATTGGCTGCTATTGCAAACTTGTCTGCAGGTATTTATCTTTTGTCTAGATTTATTGTGTTTACTATATTTATTAGTAAAATATCGGATTGGTTAATAAACAATGCTGACATTTTTTGTGCATTGTTTTACAATGAACAATACACAAATCAACATTTCATTCTGCATCCATAGTCTACACTGGAAACTTTTATTGAAAACATATAGTAGTGCCCATATAGTACTAAAAGGTTTAAATATAAGATACTAATACTTATTGGCCAACCCAATATAAATTAACACGTTAAACGCCGTGCCAGTCCTTTAAGGATTGGCGTTAGACTTTCGGAAACTAAGCGGAAAGCTCGGCACTTAACTAAGGCTTGGCGCTTAACGTGTTAACAACAAATACAGATTATTATTATTATTATTATTATTATTATTATTATTTATATGTTATTACCATATCAGGTGGTAGTCATGAATTACATCCCGGAGGTTCTGGGCAACCAGGCATTGTTGTTCACGTATGTGAAACTGAAAATTCTATAAAAGGTGGTCCACGTATTCAACATACACGTTGTCCAGAACATTAATGAATTTATTTAGATACACATAATACCTTATACACGTCCAATAAATCATTTATCCATCCAAAAAGTAACTATAATAAACAAAATATCGTACAAAAATGGCAATTAATGTAAATTATAATTTATGCCGTATTTTTATGAAGTATAATGCAACATTTAATTTTTTCTTTCTTTTTCATCCATTTCAAATTTTTGCCATTAAAGTTAGATATTAAAGTGTTATAAATAGTCAGTGAATATATGCAAATTCTTATGAAATATAGGTATTTAATATTTAATATTAAAGTTCTAATCAAAATTAATTACATGACAAACTCTTGTTATATCAATGTAAAAAATTCTTCGCCCCCGCCCCCGCCCCTAATTATAAATGTTATTAATAATTACTGTTTACATGTAGTCTACAAGTTCTAGACTTAATATCAGTTTGAAGTGTCTGTTCTGAGAAAATATGTTCATTCATTTTTAGACTATTTAATGTTAATTCGGGCTAAATCAATAATACAAATGACAAAAATGTACAGTTTACGAATTAAAAACAAAAAAAAAAGAAACAAAAAAAATAGAAAGTATCTATATCTCAATGGAGTTATATATTATTAACAACAAAATAATATATCAGTAAACATTGATGTTTTTGTGAAACACACACACACACACACACACACACACACACACACACACACACACACATAAATTCTAGATGNACACACACACACACACACACACACACACACACACACACACACACACACACATAAATTCTAGATGAAAAAAGAAAAATAAGAAAAGAAGATTAGATATTGAGTCTTGAGAAAAATTAAATTATTAATTGTATTCTCTGCTGTGTCATGAAAATTACTCTTTATTGCGTAAAGCTTAAAGCTTATACATTATGCAGTATTAGACAATACGATAATACTGATAAATAAAAAAGAAAAAAAAATCCAAGAGTAATACTGCATTGATGACTTAAATTGTTCTTCAAATTTTTATCGATGTTCCTTGTATTTTAAAGTATTGCTCATTGTTGTTTTACTTTAATGTTAATGTGAAAATGTAAATGTTATAATAATATATTTAGAAGCCTACGATAATTAATTACAACACAACTACAATAATAATTATAACAATAATAATAGTAAGGACAAAAAAAGAAAGAATATATGAAAATATCAATCTGATCGTAATCTTCACGTTCAGCAGATTCTTTGAGAGAGAAAATGTTACATTTAAATATAAGTTGTGTTTGCCTGAGGAAGTTAAGATTCAAATGTAGTTATGATATTGAAATATGTGATGTACATATACACGTGTGCATGCGTGGATGTTATTTTAATGAATGCGGTATATAAAACGGATATTAATGATATTTGATCATATTTTTGTTTTATTTTTTGCCTATTTATATTATATTATTAATTGTTTCGGGTATCAATTATACGTTTAATATAAGATTTCCTATAATTAATTGTGTGTGTGTGTGTGTGTTATATGTCATAATAACAAGCTACTATTATAACGTAAAATCAAAAGAATAAGATTTAATTAAATATACACATGCAATTTTGTTGAATATCAGTACTTCTGTAACATGACAGTAATACTTGGGTGTGTGCATATGTATATATTAATTTTATTATATGAAAAATATACATAGGTAAATTGTTTTAATATTTTATCTATAGTCATATTTTCATTGTGGGCAGTTACAAAACAGAGCAAAGAATTATTTTAAGTATGTAAATATATACACGCAAGATATATGTATATATATATACATATGCGAGTACATATTTATGGTGTACATGGCATATACGAATACGTATGATACGATGATAAATATATTTTATGTGTATACAGCACATCATTTTGATGGCAATATGCATATCAAAAATCTGATATACATTGTTGATTTTCTCATTAATAGTAACATGGTATTAGTTTAGTTTTGTCATACTATGTCTTTATTAACTATATTATGATTTTCTATATTTAAAGTGTTGTGTTGACAGTTAATTAAGAATGCATTTTATTTGGAATTATCTTAACGAGACTTATGTGATATTATAATTGATAATCGAAACACTTCTTCATTCATTAGAGAAACATAAACCTTAATACTCTTGTAAATACCTATATATATACCTATATATACCTATATATATATATATATATATATATTTACTTTTCTATATGTTACCGAGGTACAGAATATTTATGAAATTATATTTTTTGTTCTTCTTTAAAAGTTTATCGAGCATCATTGTGGAGAAACAACCTAATGAATAATACAATCTGTAGCGAGCAAAAATATGTAATTATGTGTAAATATTTTGAAATTAGATAAAATAAAGATAATATTACATATATATATCATATTGTCTTATATAAAATATGTTTTTATAATATTATTTAATACATTATTGACCAATTACGAATTAATTTATGCATTTTCATAAGCTACTTAATCAATTTTTATAACTCAAAACAATATAGGAAATTGTAACATTCTCTTTTTTTTTATATTGATTCATATTAAAAGTTTTCAGAACTAAAAGACCATGTTTAAAAAAAAAAAAAAAAAAGAATTCAATTAGAATGTAAACACTTGTTATGTACCATTACAACACATAGGTGATTGCTATACAGTTTGATATAAAAAATAGAATTATTGAAAGTTCCAGAAAGTATATTAATGTTTATTTAAATTGTATTACTTTAATGCTCAATTATCAAATGAAATATAAAATGATTATTCCCATGGTGCAAAATTGCTGGTCAATAATGTTTTCAAATAAAACGTAATATTTGATTGACTTTATATTTGTGTATTGATAGGTTTATAAAAAAATCTTGATCATTATTTCATAGAAGTCGTATATTCGTACATTCTTCGTTGGCTTATTCAAATAATATAAAAGCTTTATACAGGATATTGTTATTTACGTTTACTTAAGTATTTCACGATTTATAAGTTCACAGGGAATAATTTAAGTGGTGATACATTTATACAAAAGAGATTATAGGCCATTAATTACCTATTTGCAAAGTACTTATTGAAATTGATTGTAAAAAAAAAAACGATATTAAAACAGTTAAAATTATTCGGAAGATAAAATGAAGTAGCAAGTCGCTTAACACACAAGGGATGAACTAGTAAAATATCAAAATCAATCTTTCAATATCGGCCTAATTTTCTTCTTATATTTATTATTAATCAATTTCATTGTAAATCATAATTTATTACAATGAAATAAAAACTTTATACACGTAATCTGTGTAACACATTTCAATTCTGTTTACAGAAGAACTCTAACAAATAATATGTGATGTATTTGTCATACTTGTTGTTCACAGTGTATTTTTTCTTTTCTTATTTTCTTATTTTCTTATTAAGATTCTTGAAAGATCTTTCTATAATGCTTTATCCCTGTTTTCTTCGGATACCTGTCCATCCATTGGAGTGATATGACTTCTTATGTTATTTATAATTCCACATAATACGCGTTTCTGAATTCAATTTAATTCAATTCTTTCGTAGTCCACAAAGAATGTCACATGTCTTTGTATCTTTTACTATCTTCAAGTATACATTTGTTGCACGAGAAAAACTTAATTTTTATAAAAATATAATATTAATAATAGAAGTTTGAACAATTTTATATGGATAGATATATATATCTCGGTGTTACGCCATATAGACAAATGTATTAATGTCGTCGTCGTGTCTACGAATATATTTGTGCTCTATAAGCCATTCAATTTGTTCTTTTATCATCTTTTTACTTGGCAGAAACATATTTTTTAATATATCTACCAATTCAGTTTGCAACTGAGCATTACTTATCTTCTTCCTCATTTTCAAAATTTTTATGATGGCCTCCTATTGATACAAAATAAAAACTTATAAATATGTATGTATAAATATTATTAACTCGTTTCGTGCTAAGTGAGGAGAGACCGGATGGTTTAACTTTTCGTTTCAACAACTTGTTTTATGTGTTTAGATTGTTAGATTGTCACTAATCAAATATAGTAATTGTCAATGAATGATATAATAATAAATGAAAATACCTGAACTCGCAATATTCTCAATTGTACAATTGATTGATTATCTTCTTCTTTACTCCTTTCAGTTGACAATTGTAATCGACCTATTAGATTTATTTTTCCTCTTTTTTGTAATTTCCCATTTTTTCTGCAAATTAAATCAAATCTTGGTAATAAGAAAGAAACAAATGATATACAATAATAATGTACAATATTATACTAACACTATGGCGAACTCTTGATTAACCCAAAATCTTGTATCGTTCCCAAAATCTTTTGGACTATATGCGTGTGGTTCTACTAAAAGAAGTTGACGTTTTAATTTTGGAAAAGCACACAACGACCAAAGTGTTCTCCGTAATTCTGGATCAGGAAGTTCAGTAGCAAGACGAAGATTTTCATAAGAAATTTTTTCAAAAGGCCGTTGATTCCAAGCGAATAAAACAGCCATTTGAAATGTTGTGACATCCACATCGAAGCGACCCACTTGGTTGGAAAATGTTATCTGGAACACCATCCAAATTGGTTGCAAGATGAGGCTGAAAATTAGAATCGGGATATTGTACTTTGTGAAAAATTACAAAATACCCCTCTTTGTTACTGAATAAATAAAATTTGTCTTGTATTACATAAGTATAATTTGTATAAATTAGTTGTTTTATATGTTGAATTAGCGAGAGATGATTAGTTTAGTTTAGTTTATTATTCATTTTCTCTTTCTGGATTTACAAAGAAAATTATATTTTGAATTTCAATGTTATACTTTCAATTTCATACTTCAATTATTCATCTCTCGCCAATTTATAATAATATTTCATTGAAATATGTATAATTCTGCTTTTATTGTATATATATACGGGTCGGTCAGTTGGTTTAGTTATCATTTCGCAAATGAATGCATTGAAATAATTCAATAGTATGCACAAAATGTATACTTTCTTTGATTTAATTTGTTGGTAAAGCTTACGTATATATTCTTACCGTGCCATTTGACATGTGATGATACCATTGTAACTTTCGTCCGCTGTGTTTCTTTTTGTAAAATTCTTCAACTTCTGGTATATAATCTTCTAATTGTAAAGGTAAACTTACAGTAACTCTTTCGCTACCTCTTGCCCAGGCACCTGCATTTAATATCTATGTACAAGAAGATAATATATCATGTTAGAAAATATTATATGTTGTTATATTGAAAATATAACGTCGCAATGAATACAATCACCTTTATATTTATGCTATCTGCAATGGCAGCACGACATTGTTCCTTAAACTGTTGATTGAGATCTTGAGATACTTTGATATCTTGAAACATTCTGGCTAGTTTATTAACATAATCCGCAGGCATTCCAACTTCTCTAAGCCATTCAACCATGTTTTCTTCCTTTTCTGAATCTGCTGACGTATCTAATATGAGCCTTCGTGTTAAATGTGCTTTATGATAACGCATAAAAACATCTTTATTTTGTACATACTTTAAAACAAGTAACTGAAATGAAATATTATTCAAATTTATTTATTTATTACTGACGTTTGCTCCGAGGGAAAGAAGAAGAAGAAGAAGAAGAAGAAGAAGAAAAAAAACAAAAGAAAAAACAACATGAATTCTGTATTATTTATACTGACCACATCTCTTAATTTGCTTTCTATTTCATCAGAAGTTAATTTCTTACTTAATGGAGTTTTTCTAAGAAGCATATCACAGTAATTGGCTAACAATTCTGGACATTTGGATTCTGGTTGTCCATTATTATTATTAGTAGGTTTATTGTTTACAATAGTTGTACCGATGCCAGAACCTTGGCGAGCTGGTAATTCGAGTCTAAAAACTGTAGCATCATTAACAACAAGTTTGTAAGCTTTATCTCGTGCAGTAAGAAAACGTGGATCATCATCAAATGCTTCTTTAACTAAAGTGGAAAATCTTCTAAACAGATCTAATAATCTTTCTACATATTTTTCCGAGTCTTGAGTAATAACATCAACTGCTGCCATCATATCTGCTAATCCAGCACTTGCTATGTGTTCTTCAAGATTTCTTAACATAGGACCTACTCCTTCTGGTACTCTATCTATCAATTTTAACATCAATCGAAGCTCTGTAATCATTGGTCAAAAGTTTAACAAATATTCTCGAGAATATATAGAGACGCGCAATAGTATAATAATGATGACCAAATAAATTCACTTACTATCTGTCTGATGATGTTGTATCATTCGTGGACATTCTGCTAGAATAGCTGGCTTAAAAGTAGCTACTAAAACTCTTACACAACAATCAGTTAAAAGTTGTACGCTAGCACTATTTGGTTCTAAATATTTCTGCGCGCGTAATTCTTCTTCCCTTAATTTGGATTCTGCATATCGCATATAATTTTCTACACCGTGCAATGATAATTGCTCTGGTGCTTTGACCCAATAAAATGCTTCTGTTGCTTCTATATAGGCAGCTTCAAAATTTTCTCTATAGATCTGTAGTTTGTCTACCGTATTTGAACACAGATTGACTAAAAGTAAACATTAACATTAGATTACAAAATTAATGATTAAAAATTAAATATTTTCAAATTAAATATTTTAATTTATACCATAGGATTCTCTAACACCAATAACCAATTGAGAATCAAATGCTTCTCCGTTCCTCTCAGCACGAACTAATCTCATTGCTGAATCTTGGAGTCTTTGTTTTATTTCACCAAATATACTTTGATTCCAACTATCTAACATGAGCTAAATTAAAAGCATAATATTTTTAAATGATATCATTTTAGTTAATATGTTCTTACGCCATATATGCTCCATGATGAACTTTCCGTTCAAGCCATTTAACATTTATCTTATCAAATTATCTATCCCCAATGCATCTTAATAAACTCTATATATAGATTTTGTAATAATTACAATGTTTGCACTGTTATCATCAAAATTGTAAGTAAAATTAATAGAATCGTAACAATGACCAGAATGGGAAGTAATACTTTAGTTGTAATTTACTTTAATATTAAAAATAATCATACTTTTCTGACGATATCATCTGGCTGATTTCTCTTTTGAATACTAGAACTAGTTTTCCCAGCAAGATATGTTTCTAAATGTCGAAATGGCGTTGGCAAATAATTACATTGTGTAAAAAACTTTCTCCATTCGGCTATATATGCTTTTAATAATGCTTGCTCTTCTTGATGTGCTAATACTCTCTAAGTAACGTAAACAACATTTCACATGAAAAAACTAAATACAATCAAAATATATTATTATTTGATTATCTCTGCGTTAACCTTACTTGTTGAGCTTGCTTAATAAAATCCATTATGTCTTCTTTGAGAGCGTCACGTAACTTTGTAGGTCCTTTTTCGATCCACATACATACCAAATGGACAGAATAAAACAAATCTTGCCATTCCGTTTGCGTAACTGGTTCTTGTTTGAGAAGTTTCAATATTATAGGGCGCATACATGGCCATTTATCTTCAAATGTAAATTGAGTTTTATCCTGCAAAATACATTTATAGTTACTACATGTATTTGCATATAAATTAATGCACGAATCCTTTTTATCAATCTACATTAATTGCTGGTACCAATTTTTCATAATGACATTGTTATAATTAATACCAAGAGTGACGTATTTTATATGGAACTTCATCTATTTTTCTTCTCTCCTTCTCTTTATTCTTATTCCTACCCCTATCCCTATCACTATCCCTATCCCTATCCCTTTCCACTGCCTCACCCTCTTTCCTTCTTACTTACTTACTAACTTACTTACTTACTTACTTACTTACTTGCTTACTTACTTAATGACTTATAATTATTTAATATTATTATATTAATATCAGTTTTATGTTTGTTGAAAAGATAATTCATATTTAAAATGCTTTAGAAAGACCTGAAACTTGTAATATAAATAAACAGAATTAAAAATAAAGTTAAGCTTAAAAATTGGCCGTTAGAGAAGAACAAATTTTGGTCTATATTTAAACGTTACATACGTTTAACAAAATATTATTTCATTCTAATACAATAGTATAAAAGACAAAACATTTTCAATGTATATATAAGTTAAAAGATAAATCAATTATATGTTTGAACAATTTTTAACTAATATTTATTTAGTGACAACTAACCTTTAACATCGCCGCCATCACAAAATTTTGACATATCCTATATTTAGTGTGACTACGCCAATGAACTCACGCACAGTGTTGCAAATTGTTTGGATGAAAAATTCCTAATTTTTATAAATGGACTTATAACTATAGAAAGATGTAATTGGTGATTACAAGAAAATAAGAAGAAATCAATAAATTTGCTTGTGCTAAATTTGTATTTATATCCAAATTCTAACTTTATTTCTATTAGATATTTGCTTATTTTTTGATTTCCCAATGTTTTTCTTCTCATTGGCCCAATCACGAAGCACATACATGTTGTAAAGTAATGTGATTGGTCAATCTCTGTTTTAGCGCAAGCAAGCACCACCAAGTTGAACGCATCTACGCATATAGGAAGAATCGTATTGTAGTGTATGATGGTATATCTATTGTTAGACATTTTTTCGTGGCATTGTTCTATACCCTCTGAAAGGTAGATAGAAGTTGTGATCGATAACTGGAATCTTGAATAAAAAGCAAAATGTTTGTTCTTCAAAAGACAATTGGAAATGCACGATTGGCAAAACATATTGTACAGCAACGGAGAACCGTAGTTGATTTACCTCCGTCAGTCAAATTATCATTAACTGTAAGTATTTCTTGTTTGCGACGTTATGTAATTTGTAATATAAAAGGTAATGCGCTAATCTCTTGTGTGTAAAGTTTTTTAAATGAATATTTATATAATATTTCATTATGTTTAATATACCATAGATCGATAATAGCTACAAATTAGCTACAAATTAGTTACAAATTAGTTACAAATTAGCTACGAAGTAGATTATTTTTGAAAATTCTACCAACTTTTTAGTTAAGATTATGCTTTCGTTTTTGTTTTAGGAAAAAATTCTCGCTGGAGTAGCACTTACTGTATCGATTTTGGGAACACCTGCATATATTTCATACAATCTGAAGAATTATAGTAAGAAGTAAGATGATTCTGTAATGACATTCTATAATAGTTGAAATCAGCTGTAACGTGACTGTTATGCTGTATTATTTAGAATTACTATAAGATCATGTATTTACAAATTTAATAATAATTAAAATACAAAAACATATAACATTTAAATAAAAAGTCAAACACATTGATTTGAACATTTCTATAGAAAATATATGATTTTTCTATCATCTTTTTATTAAAATTATAGATACACAGATAAAATAGCGTCAATAATAAATTTCTGCTATTGAAGATTAATTTGTATGATGTCGTTTTAACAAGATTAATTGAAACATTAAAGGGATATCATTAATAAAGTTAGAAGAAGGCGTGTCGTCTATTATGACGTATATGTTTACGTTTCTTGAAGCAAGTGGCACAACATTTTTGTCGCACAATCGAGGAAACGTCGCACATACGTCCGTAAGTGGCACACATCGACAAAGGTATTATACTGTCGTTGCAATCTACAAACAGACATTTCTATCATTAGAGAACATTTAACATTTAACATTTTTATAAGATTTCACTAAAATATAATGACCATCTTTATCGTTGTTGCAGTGTTTTCTATAGTAACATCGTTTGCTACCAATTGGCTTTTTCTCATAGTTACAATCACTAGATAATAAGTTTGTTATTTCATTGCGACACTCAATTTCTCTACTTTTGACTCCGTATTTTATAAGACAAGTCGCATTGCACGCTCCCCAATCTCCTGAAAAATACCGGTAAATCCGCTAAAATCTTACTCCATAAAGTGAAAAGTAATTGGTAAATGGTAATTACAAATATATTACATACAAGTATATACAGTACAGTACAGTACAGTACAGTACATACATAACAAGAATAATTTTGTAATAGTGATAAAGAAAAAAGTTGTTTGTATAACAATATGCGTGGCATAAAACTGATGGTCAAAGATGCATCTTGCTTTGATTGACCGATCGATCGCTGGAAAGAAGACAGAAAAAAGCATTATTAGTACGTACGATTAACACCTTACCGACGATCCATTTTCCCTCAAGACAATTCTCTACGCTGATAGGTTTGTCATCCAAATTACAATCTCCTGGATTCGAACAAGTGACTTTTCTGTTTCTTTTTCCGTAAGAACAATGACTCCATCTCGAAACAATCCACTTGGATTTGGTATTGTACATCGAATTGTTTGGATTTTCATCAAAGACATTGTCGAATTCAAGGATTTCTGGTTCTGGGGTGGTCAGAACATCGTCTAACGTAATACCATCGTTATCGTTCGAGCTAACATTGTAAAATGACGCGTCTTTGTTTTCTGTATAAACTATCAATGGTATTTCCGAGGATAGTTCTTCACATGGTGGTAAATTTTGACAAGGACTTATTTCCTCGGGTATTGTATTCTTGTCACAATCTTTGTCTGGTAAAATGATGTCAGATCGATCCTTTCCTGTACCCGATGACACGCACATGACTGACCTTTTACGCAAAGCACCTTTGCCGCAGGTCACAGGACACCCTTGCCATGGGCCTACCCACCATCTAGCAAAGGGATGTTATATTAAAATATTTTCGGAATCGTTTTTCAGATAATTTCAGATATTCATACAGACAGACAGACATACCTGGCAGGGCAAGGATTTGAATTACATTCGCGTAATTTTGCTTCGGGTTTAATCGTGGTATTACAAAAATGTTCTTCCACAGCGCCACTCTTTTTTTCCTGACAGAGAGCTTGAGACGTTTGCGTACCACCGCCACAAGTTACCGTGCATAACGACCAATCGGAAAATATCCAGATATATTCCGGGGCACGATCAGGTTCCTTTGGTACTGTGTACTCGTAACGCAGACCAAAGTTCCGATAGTGTCCTCTATAAATTAACTGAAACGATGCGATTTTATTGAATATATATGCTATAAGAATTCTCCATTGTGCCCATGGAAAAAACATAAAACTCGGTTATGATCTCGTACTCACGTAAATCGTAATGTCTTCTTTGATAGGGCCAGGTATCCTAATCTTTTCCCTGTCCCGTTCACGTTCATAAAGGGCCGGAGTTCCGGCAACTTCGTATTCTCCTGCCAGAGTGATCTGCCTGTCCAATTAGTATCCTGGCGTTAGACTTCAGTTCGAACAAATCTTTATCAGGTATCTATCTTTATCAGGTATCTATCTTTGTTTCTATTACCGTATGTATACTTACGTACCGTTTTCCATTAAGGAAGTACTTGTTAGACTTTGGTACTCCAATGCCAATATAGTTTTTACTATTTCCAATTTCTTCTATTTTGATATTACGTGATCCGTAAGGAATTACAATGACTTTCTTGTATCCTGAACCATCGTTCTTGTCGTAAATTCCATTAGTAGTTTCACACTGTGTGCCATCGCCGTGACAGATACCGCATCGGTCTTCCGTAGCATCAGAATCAACGATCCAATCGCAGCCGACTTTCTGATAATTGTATTAATAAACGTTAAAGGTTCTTAACTTATCCTGACCAAATATAAAGAAAGAAAATAATGAGTACTAACTCTACATATTCCTGCGATGCACATATCTCTGCTACCGACGTTACAGGGCGTACCATCAAGGGCAGCTTCACCCCAAGGAACAATCACGCTTTCCTCTATGTCAGTGCAATAAAGTTTACATGGTTCGGCTATAACAACAAAATGTTAATACAGAATAATAGATATTTCATTGTGTAGAAATGAAATGAATGAAAATGCCTTACTCTGATCAAAGTAAGGCAGCCAAGTGTAATTTTTTCCTTTATATTCTTTTCCATCATAATTACTACACTGGACTGCACGAAAACTGGGAGTTCCTTCGGAACAAGGCTCCGTGTTGCAAATTTTATATCGGCGTCTTTCACCGATGCAAAATTTGCCACCGTGCGCTGGTTCCGGGTGATCACATTTCCTTTCAATGATCGACACCCCAGCACCGCAACTTCTCGAACATTCGCTCCAGGAACCCCATTCGCCCCAACTGCCGTCAATTGGATGCGATCGATCGACGATCGGTACACATTTTTGATTTTGGCACCACTGAAAATAAATTCATTTGTTTTGTTAGTTAAAAGAAATATCAGATAAAATACAAATGCTTTACCATATGTTTTTCGCAATGAGTTCCAGGTGCAGCTGGATGTAACATGGTTGTACAGGAACCATCGACGATACACCATAATTTAGAACAAATCTAGATGAATAATGGATAGGTATATTGTATTACTTATGATATTAATTTGAATAATTATTCGTCAATTATAATACTACTTTCTTTTAAAGAAGAGCTCACGAATTGAATCAGTGTTGATTACGTTTTACCTCCTGCAGAGGAGAGCAGACCGATGCATCTCTGACGCCAAATTGAAGTCTACATTGGTGTTCAGCGTTATACATAGCTCCTGGTGGTAGTATCGGATAAGGATACTGAGTGGGTTGGACAGTAGGTTCATCTTCTAGGCATTCACCTTTTCCTTGACTAAAATCATTGTTTTCATTGTTTTTGGCAATTCTTCAAATTGGAATATTAACACAGAATTAATGCAATAGACAAATAGCTTATAAAAACAATAATATTATACTAATATACTTACATACCTATATCGTGAGCTAGCAAATTTGATATATACTCGTATGTAGATATTTTATTATTTGTAGTTAGATACTTACTCTAAAAAATTGGTAATATCTCTTCTGGAGCATCTCGACCAAGCGACACCAACAGTGTCCACTTCGAATGTGGGCGTCATGACGTGTAAAGTATCACCATCGCGTTTACTACAACCGATTTTTTCCGTGTCGTGGTACATTCCAAAGCTAAAAAAGCAGCGAAATTAACAATCTACTATGATTATAAATTCACTAATCTTTCCTTTTTTACTTGCGTCAAATAAATAAATTACATGCATAAGCATGCATTTTATTACTACTATTTATCGGGTTCATATTTTTCATCATTTTTCATCATTTTTCATCAGTATTAAACAAATTACTCATAGAACAAGATCTTCAGATAAATATAATAAAGCCGGGTCACACATTGGTTTAAGTTATGTTTAGTCGTTGTGTTAGAAATTCATGCAGGTGTTACATATTAAATAAGATTACATTTACGGGTTATTTGTACATATGAAGCATTTATGATTATTTAAAAAAAAAAAAACAAAAAAAAAATGTACTGGCGGCACCGTTTGCTTAAAACAAAAAATGAATGAAACATTTGGCATTTATGTTGTTATGTTTTTTCCTACAGATATAATAGAATAAAAGTAGTAGTGTTAGTGATGTTGAAAGGATCATCGTCTTTGAATCGTCTCTGAATCGTCTTCGAATCGTCTCTGAATCGTCTCTGAATCGTCTTTGAATCGTCTTACTTATGTCCAAGTTCGTGAGTGATTGTGTGCGCGAGGGTGATACCGTTGTCCTCGTTGACGCTACAACTACGATCGGGTTGACACATGCCAGCCACGTGGGCCACTCCCAACGTACTGCAAGGTGTATTTGCTCTTGAGCATATGTCCTCTCTCGTCACGAGAATCGCGACGTCATGATGATTCGGGTGCGAATCGTCCCCTAGATTCAGTTTTTGTTGCCATTTGCAAAAATTGTAGAGGGTCTTGTCCGCGTTCACTGTGATGTCCGGCTAATAGATAGATAGATAGATAGATAGATAAACAAACAATTTTCAACATTATAGTTGAATTATCGTTGCATACCTCAGCTTCTTCATCCTCAACGAGAATGATTCTGACGACGACTATGTTAATAAAGTTGCCAATGGTAGGATCAAGATAGAGCGAGGAAACCATATTCATAATCGTCAGAAGATAAGTTTCAACGTTGCCGTCCTGATGGAAAGCCATCATCGTTGTATCTGCAACTACGAGTGCTTCAACGTGACGTGGTCTACTGATCGATCTCTTGGAACGTTGCCACCATTTCGTTGGATGATGCTTCTTTCGGCCTCGACCCTGAACTTGAACCAGACCAGGCTGCGTTTGCCACTCGAGACGAGTCTCCGTCAATCGTCTTGGTTCTGTCAGATTTTCATTAATCTTACAACAATTATCTACAACGAATTTGGATTTTTCCATTAAGATTTGATGGTATGATACATGCAGATATAGGATAAATCAAATTGATGTCCGTGTAAAGTTTCTTCTTAGAAGCACTTGGGTTAAATCGAAGCAATCATGTAAGCAATGTTTCTTTAAAATTCTAACGTAGCGTAACGGCAACGCTCGGGGGCTGAGCGGGGGGGGGGGAGGGGGTAAATCTTCTTGATGAATGGCAGTTGTAACGAGCTATTTAACGTTGGCTTATATTAATCGAATGATCTTTTTCTTCGGTGTCCCGATAAAAGAAAATTTCGCGTTAATAGAGATGGTTTGGCGCGAGTGTTTGGCGCGAGAACCCTTACCGAATGGGGACGCTGATTTATGCAAATTGAACGATCCCCGAGACTGTAATTAAGATTTCATTTGACACTCGTGCGAAGCGACTTCTCTGACCAGACACCCCATCAAATAATAACCTTTAATAATTCGAGATATCATCCGAGAGTTATATGTGTTATTAATCTTGTTGAAAAACAATATTATTAAATAGCTGCTTTATATCTTATCTTGCAATTTGATGCAATTAAACGGCTAGTAGATAATATTCTTCTCTCACCGCGAGTGCCGCAGTTTCTCTCTTGTTTCTTCTTTTTTTTGCGCCGGCGTCTGGGTCCTCGAGCTGATGGCAAGCCGGCGCCAATTTCACGCCTTCGTTTCTCGGCAGCTCGCCGGAAAACGAGGTGAGGACGACCACCTTTGCCGTCGAGCACCTTTGACGGTACGTGGATCCAACTACTTCTACGTCTTCTCTCGTGTCTTTCCACCTTCTCTTGTACCTTTTCCACCTCTTCGGCGACTGGTTCCAGCCAGAACTCGCCATCCACACTGTGTAGTACACCCGCCTGAAACGCAAAACCAGCTCGATCTCGTCTTACCCGCAGATAACTTTCTCAATTTATTTGTCTTTTTGGAAAAAGGAATTTACTAAATAAATCATGCTATACATATTTTCTATAAGTTTTTACAGTCATTGTTTTTTAATTTAATTGTGTCAGGATCTAAGAATTGAAATAAAAGCAAAATGTCAACTGGGAAGGTAGAAAAATAGCAGACACTCGTTTGCTATTTTGCCGTCGTCGGGGGACCGTGAAAAATCACGGCGCCAATCTCTACGAAGGCCGTGAAAGGGACAGACCTTCTTCTTCTTCTTCTTCTTCTTCTTCTTCTTCCTCTTCTTCTTCCTCTTCTTCTTCCTCTTCTTCTCCCCTTCAAAGGCCCAAGAAAATGACTCAGCTCTGTATGGGGCCAGACGACTTGTTCTTCTCACCTACCTCACCTCCTTCCTCTCTACCAAAGAAACCCATACTTTCTTTTTTCGTCCTCAGCATCTCCTCCTTCCTTTCTTATCCTTCTCGACGAAGAATCTCGCCTTTCTTCGATTTCTTCGATTTCTTCGATTTCTTTGATCAACGCGACATACCTTATTCCTTTTATAAAGAAAATATTGTCATTAAAAGTTGATCGTTTATATTTTGCGTCACAAATTCTTCAGAGAATTTCGACTAATCATGAGCTGATTATCTTATTTAGGGTTAGGCACAGTAATGCGAGAATATATTTTATTTGTATGTTTTTAAGTTACTGTAATAATTTATCTTTACTCATAACTTGCAAGGATATAAGTATTTTTCTTTTTGCTGCGTTGTTTGAAGTAACAAGATTCGAGCATAGCTTGCTTCGTGAATAAATCACGAAGTAAAATCGCGAGATAAGGAACTATCTTACCAGCGTTGAATTTATATTCTTCGATAAGTAGAATTTGTTGCTGAAGTGGCGATACCACACGATCGAGAAGAGAAATAACAAAAATAACAAAACACGTAAAACGAGTACACCTATACTTGATGACGTTTACTTATTGGTGGTACACCCAATGCTACTAGACCATTCAATTTCTAACATTGTTAGGAGATATTAATAGAAGAACGAGTTAATATTATTACCCCGTAAACGAATGAAATTTCATTTATCATTTTCTATTTTATTGTTAGAGATTTGGAGAACATTAGGAAAGGTTGCTAAAGGTTGCTGAATAAAATATAATGCTTTACGATACGATGATGCGCCTTCGTGCGAGATATTTCTTTTCGAAGTAGAAGAGGAAAAAGAGGAAACGAAAACTACCTGAGGGCTATTGGAAGAAAGCAGGACGAAAGCAGGACGAAAGCAGGACGAAAGCAGGACGAAAGCAGTAGACTCTCAGGGATCTCGATGATGATAAATGCTTCCTGCGGAGAAACGTGATTTATGCCGTCATTAGAACGCTCGTCCCGGACCTCCAGCGTGTGGGTGGCGCATAATGATTGCTACCACGTACTTACATGCACCTATGTAACTTACTATCTAAAACACGTAGGTATACATGTATGTATGTTCGTATCTTTTTCTTATATTCGAAAAAAGCTTTCGTGTAATCTATGATGATACGTCATGGTTCGTAAAGACGGACCTCATGCGAGACTTATTGATAGCTTATTATCTTGAACAATCGTGAGAAACAGTATTTTCGATTGTTATTTAAATCGCTACCAATTTTCCATAACAGTTCATAGTAGATCAACAGTTTATATCTATGAAAATCTTTCTATTTTTAGTAATAAATTTTCGAAACACTCAACAGACACTATTAGACATTATTAATATTTCTGTATAGGAGAAGAAAGCTTTATTTATTGTTCACCTTATTTAAGATTCATCGTCCAAGATGTTACACACAACTTGTTATTAAATCGTAATTTCATTGAAAGTAACAGAAGGCCCACCCAGGGTTACTTCGATCCAAGGAAAGAGATATGCATTAATTAAAGGAGGTAGCAGGAGACTGGTCTCTCGATTAGCTATTAACACTAATTATATGTTTAAACGTTCGCGGCCAGGTTGAGTTAAAGTTGGTTAAGCGTTCTCCCGGGAGGAGATAACCTGTTCCCCTACTTGCGATCTCACTCAATCGAATCAGCGGACCGCGTGAAAAACGTGTATTCACGCCTCCTAACCTTTCGCTACCGTTCGAATGTCCTGCCTCTCCCTATCCTTTAAATCTAACCAATCGAATTTCTATTTTCCATCCGAACGAGCGAGCGAGCGAGCGAGCGAGCAAACGCGAATCAACCTTCGATAGTAGGTCGATATATCTACTTTACTTACTTATTAATCAAAGCAAACAATCGGTGAAAAGTCGAATCAAATTTTGATAATCGTAAAGTTTCATTGGGGAACTCACGCAAACAAAAATAGCGGTAAGAGAGAGAGAGAGAGAGAGAGAGAGAGGAAGCAATCTTCAGTAACGATCGTTTAAGTAATGATAGACCGTCCGGTGCTATTTATGAAATTACTTTCATTTTTTTCTTAATATTTTATTAAATAAACGGTCGATAATGATGACTTTGTAAGATATATATTATAGCATATTATAAGTCGCTGATTATGGGAACGTAAAATTGTCTTTAGTAAAATGAACAAGAGACAGTTAGAGACTTAAATTAGGAATCATTATAGGAAAGGGGGATGATGATCATTGTTAGATTCAATTGTAATTCAGTATTAGGCGACACGAGGAATTTCTGGTCTCACCACGGATGAGATTAACCCATGGGATATTGCAATTAACGTTGTATGTTGCAAATTATCGAACATTATGTATTGCTGCCAATTATATGTGGCTTCCTGTGCTTTTGCTCCTCTTCGCAAATACATAAACCTGACACGATGTAGATACGTTTCTACATATCTATGTATATACAGTGGCGTACAAAACTTTTGGGTTAGCGTATTTTTTGTTCATTGCGTGAAACGACGAATTTTCTCGGTGTGCACAAAAGGCAATTGGAATGAGTTTGAATTATTCGAAAGTACGTAAGACATTTGACAAGTATTCGACCGATGTAATGCAGGATACCAAGTTTTTCTACTTGTTTTTAAGACAAAAATACGCTGACCCAAAACTTTTGCGCGCCACTGTACACATATGGATATTCCTTACAAAGACATAGACGATACTATATGGAGTCTATTCGTAGCCTATTTTGAATGGTGCCATTTAGAACGATTACTTCATTAACTTGCTTCGTGAATACGAATTCGTAATTTTCAAAACTGTGTCGTTTTACTACCCGCGCTGTTCATGATTATTCGATGCAAGCCTAGAGTAGAGTAGAGTTTAGATGTTAAACGTATAAACGTAACCCAAGGGCGCCAATATTAGTAACCAACAAATTACAATAGTATTAATAAATACTTTCTCGATCAAACACGTCAATTTGCACATTTTCTTTGCTAAGTTTATTATTAAAAAAGTATACGAAACAATAAGTATGTCTACTTTTCGGATGATATCGTTAACAGGAAGTAAGCCTTCGAAACACACTTTGAACGAAACTATTTTTCATCTCAGAATAGCATGTCACGTTCCGCATACTTTACTTAGCTGTTCGATAAAGGTCAACTATTTTCCTTCAGCGGCCTCGTCTTGCATAAAATAATAATCTTTTCGTCAGACCGTTTTCTTACTTTACTCTCTCTCTCTCTCTCTCTCTCTCTCTCTCTAGTTTTCTTTTCTTACTTTTATTTCTTTGAACAAACAGCTCGTTTTTCTTTCCTCGCTGAAAAATCCGTCGATGATTAATAAAACGATACGCGTTCGAGATAAGATATTAAATACAAAGAAATGTTTTCTCGACAATTAAAGAATAACATTTATCTCTGTCTCTTTCTAGCATATTACTAGCATTCGTCAATTGTTCTTTTAATTACATCCAAAGATCAAGAAGTACACTCATATTTTGACGAGACCTTAGACTAGCAAAAAACGTATAATTATACGAACTTTTTAATATTCTCATTTTCCTTTTATTCATTCTAATATCCATAAACGTTTTTTCTCTTGATTGTCCCTTTTTGATCTCCTTATTTCTCGTTTGACTTTAATTAACATTGCCCTTTTGACCTGTAATGAATCTCAAATCTCGTTATTCCAATTTTAGCATTCACAGTTCGATGAGCGATCGACAAATTGTGATAAATCGTTCCACTTCTTCCTCGATTTGCATTCTTTTCTATTTCTTTTTTTATGGCAATTCATTATAAAATATGTAATATGCAATGAATAAGTGGCTTTTGCCGACATTTTACGGTATAACGAAATAGTTAATGGACCATTTGAATATTCTACTCGATCGAACGATGTTGCGGACGATGCTGCGAACGATGCTGCGAACGATGCTGCGAACGATGCTTCTTCCAGATCAATATTACATTTATTCATTTCTTCATTACGTTCATATTATATTGTGCAATATTATTTAGTATTAATAATTATAGAAAATAATATCAGAATATAAGTTATGTCGTTAAAATAAATGAAATACAGTAAGAGTACTGTAAAGTACTTGCAAGAGTATTTGTACTTTGTCTGTGTAATATAATGCACGTAATATTCATTATGAATGAAATTGCAACTTTGAAAAAATTCATTACTAACTGTTAGGGTCTCTAGTATATTATCTAATAGCTCATTGTTTATTGGATGATAACATGTGACATCTTTAGAACGTTAAATACAAAGCTGTCTTCTTACCTTCAATACTTATATAGTCATACATTTATGCATCAAATAAAATACATATATAATAGATGTGTATCGACATCATAAATAATTATATGAGCAAACGATAGACCAAGTCTTGTATGTATTTACTTGTATATGCGCGTGTAGAGATATAGGTTGACACATACAAGAAGAGACGAATACAAGAACTACGAGGAGGCGACTAGGTGTGCCGTCATAAATCTGCCAAGTTGCGGCAAATTAAATCATTATCTGGAAGCTACGAGAGCAAATTCAATTGATGCATGCTCCGAGGCTCCACCTCCATTCTCTTTCTCCGCGATCAAATTATTCTTACTTCTTATTATATTATATTTTTTTCATTTTTTATATCATTTCTCAGGGATGCCCAAATTCTCTCGATTCTATAGTCGTGATACGCATTAATCATAATCAGGGTTATAATATCTCTTATCTATTAGAAACAAATGATCAAACTTACCAGACCATCGCAAGCAGACAAAGCAACACGAGAATTCGGATGGTTACGGATGAATCCACGATAATGGCACTTGGTTGAACGGTTTTTTGCCGGTGCCCGAATATGGTAATCGCGTTTGTGTCTCTCGACGATGATACTCGATCCGATGAAGTCCTCGACAGCTGTCAATTCGATATGATACTCTTTGCCGGCTACCGTCAACCGATAATGTACTTCAGATCCGTTCTCGTCGTGATGATGACTCACGTTATGCGAGACTAACTCGCCTTTATGGCTAACCTTACGGGGTATCACGATCTCGTGATCATAAAGATGATTTTCTAGCGTGTACAATCCTGAAAATAGAAACATTCCAAAAGATATCTGTTAGAAAAAAAGAAATAACTATAATAAGAATATTGGTCATAAATATAAATAAAGTCAGTCGAATAGACTTTTATCGTACTTGTATCATATCGTATCAAAGTGTTATTCCCCGTCTTGGGAATCCAAGATTTCTTGCTTGATACGTTGGTGTGCGTTTGTCCAGTGGCACGTAAGAACGTGGGTAGTAAAACGGTCTGATTATAACATTATTTTGAAGCAAGTGGACTCGTAAACGCCATGGTGAAGCGTGTAAATAGGAGAAAGAGGAAATGTTCAGAGAACTAGGAAATAAGGGAATATAACTTGGTCCTGTCTCCATTCAATACTACAAGCAATTTCTTCATTTATTTATGTATTCGATAAAATAGTCAGTATTGCTGCGATAATAGTGCAATAACTTACAAACGAAAGATTTTTAAGTTTATAAAAGACGTAAATGACACATAGCTTGAATAATTGTTCCAAATAAATGGCCTATTGGGCAAAACAATAACTTAATCAATCAATCAAAATAAAAAGCGATGAAGTTGACCATGCTGTAGTATAAGACTTCTCAGAAATGAGAGAGAGTTAGGTTAGTTGGTCGTAACAAAATAGATTAGAAGGGTTGGAATAGCTTTAGGTTCAATTAATGGGAGGCGTTCTGTGCTCCGTTCTGTGCTCTTCGACTTCACGAGCAAGATTTTCTCGTGATATATATATATATATATATATATATATATATATACGAGTACGTAGAGAGTGCGAATATACGAATGTAAGTATAGTATTTACTGACGTTACATACACGCGTATGTTCCCCCCGCGTGATGGATGAAACGGTAAGGATTTATGTGGATGTTTTCCGACGCCCGTCCGCGTGTATGTCCGCGTGTATGTCCGCGTGTATGCTTGTCGGACGAGAATTCTAAACTCATTTGTCAATGGTCGCACATGCTGTGGACAACCAAGAGACATGTTCCGCACAAATATTTATTTTTATTTTCTACATTTGTCTACATAAGTATGAATGTTCGAATCGAAAAGTTAAAGATCCTCAGCATCGAATAGGCGTGTGTACACGCAATAGCAAAGATAGGTACTTGACATTTTTGTAAAAGTTTTGTTTGATCGATCTTTCCTCCATCGACTATTGTCGACGGTGATCTAACACTTAAATGGATAATTGCGTTTAAGTATCCATTTGCAAAGTAGACAAGAAAAGACAAAGAGGAAGAGAAATACGAAGAGAAATACGAAGAGAAATAGGAAGAGAAATAGGAGAATGCGTTCGCAGTTCAGCTGGCGCAATATGTCTTCATGTAAGAATCGTCTGACAGTCGACGTCCTTGCGGATTCATCTGCATGACCGCCGCATATCGCACTTCAGTGACCGAGCCAATGATTTTATCTACGTCAACACGTCTACGGTTGTCTCGATTATTATTACGTCATATGAGACCACTCTGATTTCTATACGCTCAAAAAGTTTCAATATAGAGAAATAGAGAAGCATTGCTTTGAAGAAGAGTTTACATGATGTTTTTCTGAAAGTCGGAAACCGAGGAGATCAGGATCAATCTTCGTGCTTTTTACGCATAGTAAAATGCGTCTCAAAAATCGTGTGTTAACTTTATATAAATAAAAGTTATTTTATACATTTGAAAATTGCTTAAATATAAATGAGAGTAAACGAGTCGTAAGTTACATGCAATTATCTTGTTGTATTTGATTTAAAAAGTAACAATTTTCTACACTTATGCATAAATATACGGAGTAAAAATGTCAGTAGATTTATAACTGTTACATCAGAACCAATGGAAAATGTTAACAGTTTCCTTCAAGCCCTGGAAAAAGCAAGATGGGGAGAGATAGAGATAGAGAGAGAGAGAGAGAGGAATAAGTTTTTGTAGTACAAACCAAGTATGCGCATGGTACGAGACTAACATAAGAGTAAAAGGAAAGAATAACCTACACGTATATTGTATATATATATATAGGTACATGTTCATAGCTCGCTCGGTGAACGGCGTAATCATCATTATACCATTATCATTAAAGACGGAAAAATGGCGGTACGACCAATCAGCGCAACTCTCTTAGAGTGGATAGGGTTAAACGCAGGTGGGGACTAGGATAGAAACGTGGACCTCCCATTAGATACGTTGATGTATTATGCAGTATCCACATTATAGTACTATACGCAGTATGTTTTGAATCGTTGTGTTATCTTGCACGAAAACTAAATTATCTTTACCATTGGATTTTGTCCATTTTCAAAAGAAGATTACATTTGAAAATATCGATATAAATCCTCTGATTAATTATTATTTTTACGTAATAATATAATACAATTTTTAACATTTTTTTCTAGTCGAATCTAAATTTATGGAAAGTTGAAATGTGCATTTAATCGTGTTTAACATTTTCTTATTTTTCATCTTTCTTAATCCCTTTAGTATAATCCATTTGATGTGTCGTTCGATTAATCGAGCAAATAATTAATAATACGCCGTAGCGTATCTCGATCCGATTATGCACGACTCATAAGCGTTAAGAGTTATTAATTCATTAAAATGTCGTTTCTCAAATGAAACTTGTGTTCTCAAATATATTCACACAAGCACGATGGTATTTTATTGAAGAATTTGTAAGAAACTTTTCAACGATATATATTTTCTGCAAATAGAACTTATGTTAGACGGAAAGAAAAAGATTACGATGTTTTTTTTTTTCGAAGACACTAAGTAGTTGAACATTAAGTTCTTCTCACCTATGTTATAAGTATTCCAATATTATCGATATAAATTGATCAGAAAAGCTCGAGGTCTCGAAAGGAAACGACAAACGCAGCGCCGATAAGCGAAATTTCATCTTATATATTTTACATTATAGATATTTAATGGAAAAGAAAAAAATAAGGAAGAGCAAACTCGTTTGCGATTTCCCATCTGGATTCCAGTCTCCGAGACAAAACCGGAGTTAATCTCAAGGAGACGCGCCAAAGTCGTCGACAACATTCCAAATTATTAGGCATCGAGAGTGATTCTTTATCTTTGATAGCTGATGTGTTACGGTAGAAACAAGTTTTCCTTTACGATGATTCACTTGAGCTTATCTTTCGCTAAAGATTATCGACTGATCCAGAAGAAGCGCGTAATATTAGCATATTTCTTGGTTTATCATATTCATTAAATCAACTGCACCGATAGTCGTGGAAATGAATATACGTGTGCTGTTTCCAATTATTATCCTTTATTTAAGGATCAATGATTTTATGCGATAGTTTTACATTTTTTCAGTACTAGGGATGTTATATTGGTCAATAAGTCGTAATAACCGGCACATAATAAAATGATGAACAATGAATAATCTAAAATATTAGAATATTAAGTATAAGTAGTTTGCAATATCCGTCAAAATATATCGGCTTTCGACTTTTGACTTTTGAAAGAAAACGAGAGTAGGCGATTCGACACAATCCCGGCACTATATTAACAAAATGGAGCTCTCGTTTCTTCTTCGTTAATACGAAGACACGAGACAGATGGTCTTTAATGAAATAAACCGACCGGCAAGCTTTTCAAACGCGACTGTGTTTAATGCGATGCTTCTCACGTTTTCTACCGACAGATTCTCTTCAATAAGCTACGAAATAATTATCCAAACTTAGGGGTTAGCATGGGAAGAAAGAGATGGAATTCATCGGATCCAATCGGATCGATTTGATTGGAGAGGGCAGACGACAGGATGAAGAAGGCTTGCGTGGGTTAAATCGCAGGTAATCGGAGCCCACGCTAGGATCCACACGAGAGTGATCCTTTTCGAAAGATATCGTGCAAAATCCTTCCAGCAAGTTAAACACATTTCTATTTCTGTCCAACGATCAGAGAGGGAGAGAGAGAGAGAGAGAAAGATCTCTTCATATTTATCCAATTATATTACTTTCTCCCTAGTTTTTGTTCTAATAAATGTTCGATATCTTAAGTAATAGAAATAGATGGAACATCTATTCTTCAATAGAAGTGGTAGTTGTCTTTGTGAATAAAGAGACATCGTAACTCGTTGACTCGAGGGAAATCGTGAAATCCTTTATTACGCTGTCGAGGGGAACACGTTGTGGCAGGTAGTTTTACAGTTCGATAAGTGACGGCTGGAATCGCGTCGGCAAAGAAAGAAAAGAGAGAGAGAGGGAGAGAGAGAGAGAGAAGGACAAAGAAAGAAGCGAACTAGGAAATATCCCACGTGCCGATACTCTTCGTTCCTACCTCTTTTCCCGTAGGGAACTTACATTAGAGACTTTAGGATTTACAACTTCCTTTAGAGAACTCGTGTAAACGCATTACTTTGACTTGGAAAAGAGAGAATAAGAGAGAGAAAGAGAGAGTCAAGTAAACCAACCATTTTTCTACACTTTCAAAATCAATACTAAAGTAAATACTACAATCGACGATTATAAATTGTAAATGCAAATTTATGTATTATTCCTATATTTCCATATGTACCATTTGGATATCCATCCGTTAGAGATTTGTTAAAACTGGAATAATATTTTACATTTTGTATTAGCTACTCAATTACTTGGAATATTTGGAGTAACGGGATTGTTGAATATAATTTGATTAATATCTTATGACTTAAAATAAAATCAGATACTCGAGTAATCCGCGTTACCAAGTAATTGGCCTACTTTACCTATCAAATCCATTAGAAAGATTTTGAAGGATCTTAACTATATCTAACATTAAAAGTTCTTCTTCTTCTTCTTCTTCTTCTTCTTCTTCTTCTTCTTCTTCTTCTTCTTCTTCTTCTTCTTCTTCTTCCCATAACCGAGAGAACTATCTCAAAGTTATCTTAACACATGAAACGTTACGAAGATAAAAGCTCATGTAACACGATGGATTACGTCCAGTATGTTTTCTACGCTTTCAACCTGATACCTCTTACTCGTTTATATTACTCGTGATTTATGAGCAGGTGAAAAGATAAATGCTTACTTCGATACATGCGACGAGATGCGACAATTAGGAGGCCACTTTTTCATCAAATAATCAATACAGTTAATCCTCCTCTCTCAGATAAGTTTATCTATTATTTATTTATTAATTTGAAATGAGATTAAACGTTGACAGATCGTTGAGCGATAATGAAAAATACCTACTGCGTCCAATGAATATTTTTCTTTCTATAAGACAAGTCTAATTGTACATATAATTGAGGACAAACCAAATATTATTTGCATTGGAAAAAATAATCGTTAATAAGTAATCGTTAATAAGTATATGGAGTGGCAAGATTCAGTCGCGTAGGATTCATTGATAGCGTTTGCCCACGCGGTTTAAGTCGCACACAAGTCGGTAGTACAAGTCGCACTTACGTTTACGCCTTTTTTTTCATTTTTTATTCTTTTTCTTTTACTTGTTGTATTTCGAATGAACACGAAGCACCTACGCCAAACGATGCGTGCACTAGCAGTGCCGAGGCTGGATTCTGCTACAAAACATTGCTACGCTGCTGTATTTCTTTGGCGCCACGTCACATTTTCATTTCTAATGAAATATACAAGTATAAAAGAACATTCAAATCTCAATTGAAATATATATTATAATAAAACCAAAAACAAAAAAAAGAAAGAAGACAAAAAATCGACCTAGCGTCGTACCTAGCGTCGTACCTAGCGTCGTACTTGCTTCGCTTTGCGAATCGTTATCATTTTGTACGATCAAAATAATAATAGTAATTGAATTTATTTTCCAATTCATTTGATTCGTTTGTCGTCATCGAAAGTACTTTGAATGTACTTTCAATCGAAATGACATATTAACATCGAGATAACGCATGTGTACTTCTGTAGGTATCGATTCTGCCTTTGAAATTTGCGCTATCGGCAATTTCTTGGCGGCACGAATGGCCGCGTAAAAGATGAGAGAGAAAGAGAGACTCGAAAGTTATGCCGATTTGCTGCTGCCGGCGAGAAAACGTCCATGGTGGTCCAGACCATATCTGAATCTCGATATATTGCGATAAGATCAGCAAAATCTCGTGGAGGTATCAAACGATTCGTAAATTCTCTGCCGCTACCGCTGCTACAGGCTATTCCTTCTCTCGATCACGATATTGTCTTTTTTTTCCTAACATTTCGACTCAACTTTTGTTCTATTCGATTATATAACTAAAAGAGTATATAATAATTGTGTTTGGCTTACCTCTTACGTTCAAATGTTCTCGTCGCAAACTTTCCGAAGTTGTACGAGCGATCAAGATGAACATTTGCAATATGAAAAGACGTCTCATTGTTAACGATCTTTTCAAAGATTTTTCGCTTCGCATTTTTTCTATTTTCTCACGATTCCGAATGTGCATTCTGAAAATCATGGAAAAATTGTGCATTAGTACAACGAAATCAGAAAAATGATTGTGAAACAATTGTCAAATAGTTTTGTAAATATAATACAATCGTAATTAGAATTATACATAATAGAAAAGAAAAATGTAAAGGCAAAAGAGAGAGAGACAATGCGAATTACATATACATAAGATAAAATCAATATAGCAGGTATTGAACCTAGGTGAAATGACAAAAAAAGATTGCCTATTAACCAGGCGACTGAGAAGAGAGATCGAATTTTAATAAGACACGCTATTATGACACGCCTTTGAGAAAACGCAAGGTTCCCGAGCACGTATGGAAAAACGCTTTCCCCTATTGGTCCGCGCGCATAATAACACGTGTTCCTCGTACACGGGCCATTAAACATGGGGAACACGTTGCATCTATTGGTCCATTGTGTCATTTCAGACTGCCTCCTTGCTCTCCTTGCCACCACTTTTTCCTTTCACGATCTTCTAATAAGATTGGAATAGTACTATACGTTCTACTCGTGCATTATGCGTATTAGAAAATTAAGGAATAAAAGAAAGAAGGAAAGTGTTTACGTAACTAAGAAAATAGAAGGAAAATAAAAGAAAATGAAAATAATTCAATTGTATTGAAGTAACAACAAAGAAATAAGAATGTGAGTTTAGGAATCATAGGAGTTTCGGTTGCGTTAAGCTAAAAAAAAAAATGGTTAGAAAAATCGATCCGCATTAAAAAATCATTGTAATTGCACTGGTAGTTAAAAAAATGTACAAAAATTGAACAGGGTCTTTAGAACGTATTCACATACCTTTCTCTTCCTTTCGCTCTCGCTCTTTGAAAGTATCGAACTGTAGGATCGAACTGTAGGATCGAACTGTAAGATCGAACTGTAGGATCGAACTGTAGGATCGAACTGTAGGATCGCAAACGATCGATTCTCCAATCCTTGACGCAATTAATTTAACAGTGAGAGGGGCAGGAAACACGCTTTGATGAACGCCGTAACGCGTAGGCATACCTGTGCACGAGGATAAATGAAATACTTTGAGGAAATAGTTGGAGTAAGCGAGAGAGGGAAAGAGAGAGAAAGCGGATGTTGTAGGTACCCATTCCGAATTTGGTCGAACGAGATTTACTCCTACGAGATCCCCCGATGTTTCTTTTTTTTCTTTTTTTTTTCTTTTTTTTTTTCTTAGAGTTTAGGTAGAAGCTATTAATATGACGCATTACTGCTTCGATTCTCATTCGATAAGACTACGTAGGTGGGCGGCCTTCCTTTGATCTTTCTTCATTTGGACACTCTTGACCCTCGACTTTCGTAAAACCAATGTGCTACTTCATCGATCATTTCTTCTCGACTAACGTAATCACTTCGAGAGCTAATTATAATCATTTTCATTTCAGGTTTATATAGGTAGTAATAACAATGTATGAAATGAATACTTAAAACCAAATATCTTATAATTATTTTTAAAGAATTTTGTAGGATCCTATCTCAACTAAGACTAGAAACAAAAAATGTGATTTTAATTGTAATTATTAGATTAATTATCTGGAACATAGTAAGATAATTATTTGAATAATACCTACGAGCAATCATTTCCTTATAATAATTAGCCAATTATTTTCTTATTTATTATTAAGTATAATAAGATCACATGTCGGTGTTTGCTTTTTAAAAATAAAACCATGATTATAGATTGAACGATGGTCGATAAAAAAAAAAAGATACTAAAAGAAGAACAAGAATTGGACTACTCACGTCGCTCTTGGCAATGTAAATGAAATCATCCAGATTCTCGTTCGTAGAGTAAGGGGTGTTATTATATTTGTGCGAGTATGCGCCTGCGAATCGCGGATGACTTGCAAGATACGCGTGTATGACATCAGGAACATCCGTGTATTCATTCAAATCGATTCAATAGAGACTTCTTTCTTATTTAAACATACGAGCACACAACATTTGGAAAATACGTAATATGATTACGTACTATGATCAAAAAGTATTTAATAGTCAAGTTTATTATTTTGTCTTATTGAAAATAATCTCAGCAATAATAATTACAAAGATACGGATCCCCTTGTGAAATCAATTTTTCATTATTACGATTATTCAAATGATAGTTGAATAATCGTAATAAAATTGCTAAAAAAGGTTTCCCTGTATATAAGAATTTAGAAGCTTTGCATTGAAAGTAATTTATAGCGGGAGCAGGGGTCCAATCGAAAAATTTCCTTACTATATTCTAACTTTCTATATTGTGTGTGCGTGTGTGTGTGTGTGTGCAATATTTATTCATACTGAAAGTAAATTCAGCGAGTCACCGTATATCAAAGTATTTTTATTTTCGTGAGAAAGTCTGGTTGTATCTTGAAAAAGGATAAAGGTAGTCGGATCGAGGCAAGTTCGTAAAGGACATCGTCGTCGTCTACAAAGAGCCGAGAATATCCGGCACGATATTCGCTTTGAGAAGGAAAACTGGCGCAATAAAGTGTCGATCGTGGACACCACGCGAGTATCGAAGGGAACCTTTGAGTTGTTCTTGTTGTCGAGTAAATATTTATGCATGATTTATGCTACCATTGCAGCTGAGATTGCGTACTTACTATACACGAATATACTCTTTATCAACTATCAGGTTGACAAGGTACCCTATACTCACTTCATTGTTTCTTTCTTTCTCTTTATCTTTTTATTTCTTTATTTCTATTTGTTATTCTCTATCTCTTCGTTAGGCCACTCTCTCTCTCTCTCTCTCTCTCTCTCTCTCTCCTTCTTTTTTATCCTTGACTGAAAATGATGGATCGAAATGGAACGAAGGGTCATTTACATTTTCGAATTAATCATGATCAGCCATTCGCATCATTCGATCTCGAAATGTCGCGATATTAGTTGACGGAGGAGGGGTTTTATTATTTCATTGCTTTAATAAAGGTATGTGTTAGAAGGAGTTTAAGTAAAGAAATGGTTTGGTCTAAAGAAAAATTACAAATTAGTAATAAATTGTATTGAAATGCTGCTTGCTCGTGTATTGTGCTCGTGTATTGTGCTCGTGTATTGTGCTCGTGTAATGTCATTAAGTTAACGATAATTTAAGCGTGGCGAATGTTCGAACGTTTTACGACAATCCTTCGTTCCCCTAACGATATAATAATCACGCGTTTTCATCCCCTTCGCAAGTCGACGTTTCATTTAATCCGATCGGCCGTATTTAGGTTGCACCATTTTTCAAAATCTATCTGTCTATCGATTAATCCTTCCAGTTATCAATTTCTCGTTAAGATCCTACTCGGATTTGTAATTATACGATTCTTCGTTTCATCCTGCCATACAACTTTTTATTCCATCTCAATTTCATTGAATTTTAGAAAAATCTTATGGGAATAAAAAAATAGTTGTGAATGTAATCGCGGAAGGATTAAGCTACATCGCCGAAATAGCTCAGTTGGGAGAGCGTTAGACTGAAGATCTAAATGTCCCCGGTTCAATCCCGGGTTTCGGCAGCAATTATTTTTTTTTCCTACTATTTTATCTAATTGTTTATTTATATGGACATATAATAATAATAATAATAATAATAATAAAAAACAATGATATAAATAAAATAAATAAAAAAAAAATATAAAATAAATAATATTATTTTTGCTTATGATGTTTGAAAGTTAGTCCGATCCCATCGCCGAAATAGCTCAGTTGGGAGAGCGTTAGACTGAAGATCTAAATGTCCCCGGTTCAATCCCGGGTTTCGGCAGGAATTTACTTTTTTTTTTTTCACTAGTTTCTCCACAAGACCTACAGCAATCAATGACTACGATAGAAAGTTTTAAAAAGCTATGGATAATAAATGGAAGAGTATTGAAATTTCACGATTCAATTTTGACAAATCCAATAATTAATTCTTGATGGAGATATTTTTGATTAATTATCTATTCAACCCAAATGTATTTGTGCTATGCTAACGTTACAATTGGAGTTGTTATTGCCCGTCCCGTCGGATACTCTTGGATACTTGATAAAAGATATCCTAATAAATCAAAAATATCAGGATATATTTTATTCAAGTACTCTACTTTAAAAATCAAAAACGTAAATTGAACGCTATAATTGATGATAATAAATGCAATATAAGTATGCTTGTAAATCTATCAGATTTGCATTTTTGTGTTTGTTCGTCCAGGTATCTTTCCGAGTATCTGAGTACCCTGCAGGTCAGGTAGGACTCGTGTAATATTTAATATTTCGAGATAGAACCGGATACTTGGGCGTTATACACGCCCTTTTCGTACGCCTTAAGTATGGTACACCTGACATGTAATGTTGCATTATTTTAAATAAAGACAATGACTATAACGATGAAAGTGCATCAATATGTGCGTGCATTCGAAATCGAAACGTTTTTCATATTTTCCTAACTGTTTGGAAAAGCACACAAACCTGTTATCGGAACTTTTTTCAAACTCAATTTACAGGTGTATATACTTTTACTTCTCAAATATTATTCATAAAGAAAAATCGCGTTTGAAAGATATTAAAGATACAATTGGAAGAATCCAATCCATGTTCGTTGGGATTCAAACTAACAGGGTAAACGAAAATATCGATCGGCGGTGGTCGATTACACGTAGGCGATTAAAAGGTCCAACGTTTTAATCGAAACGAAGTAGCGCGGAATAATAACGGGTTTTAAACTGGGCTCACCTTGTACCTGTGAGTCGGCACTACGTTTGATTTACGACCGACGAAAGTGTCAACCGTGTCTGCGTGTCGTTTGTTCGATTTCGACGACGACGACGACGACGACGACGACGCGACGACAATTTAGAAAAAAGAAAAATGGAGAGAATATAATATAGTTAGCGTGTGTGGATATATATATCATTCCAATGAGTAATAATGAGCTATAATAGGAAATATACAAACTATCATATTATTGGAAATTCTACTCACCCTGAGATCGTAAAGGTATGAGATCGGTGAGGACAGCTGATCCAATGTTAACCACGTGGTATGGGATTTGAGAGTTTGTGCGAGCGCAAAACAAGGGGGTTCGAAAAATACTGCAGCACAACTCTAAACACGAATATACTATGCCCCCTGTTCTTGTCTTATAAATTATATTTTCAAGTATTATTTGTTGTTCCTTTCTTCTTCTTCTTCTTCTTCCTCGGAATCAGTCCTTTCGAATCCTCCTCCTCCTCGAGCCCTGGAAGTTCGACAAAGAAAGAGGTTAAGGGCTCGTCGTGGATTGTCGCTTTTCGGCGACATCGAGAGTCCAAAGAAAATATCTCCGAGGACAACCGCGGACGTGTTGGTTACGTGCTGGTTACTCGCCGGTTACTCGCCGGTTACTCGCCGGTTACTCGCCGGTTACTCGCCGGTTACTCGCCGGTTACTCGCCGGTTACACGCCGGGTTAGTCGTCGCTGGTTACTCGCCGCCACGGTCGCCGTCACAACACTAGTGGCCTGCTACACTCTTCCCTTGGTACACACATCCACTTTTCTCTCTTTCACCTCCCTCCCTCACTCTTTTGGCCTTCTCCTCCTTCATCGATACTACTATACCAGCCGCAAAAGCGCACACGAATGCAACAGAGCGATCTACTACTAGGTAAGACTAGTTCCTCCACCCAGTTCTGGACCCGTTTTCTCTTACCTCTCTCTTTCTTAGATGTTCACATACACACACACACACGCACACTCTCTCTCTGTATCCGTTCGAATCGGTCTTGTTCTTTTTCTTGGGCTCTGTCTTTTTTTTTTTTTATATTTTTTTGTTGTCTTTCGTTTGTGTGTATCTATCTCTCATATACTATGTCGCGTAGTGTTTTACATTAAACGCTCGTGTTAAAATATCGTGCTAAATGACTCTTCGTTTTTATTCGCCTTATTGTTTTATCATTCTTCGATATTGCATTTATCTAAGTATCTGTATTTAATTTTTGATGACATTATTTAAAAGGTAATAGTTGGGAAAATGGAGATCACAAGTCGGATTAGCGGTTGTGTAGTTATCCCTTATATTACTGCAAGTTTTGTCTCTCTTTCTCTCGCTCGCGGTTGTCGTCGACGGGCAGTTTAACATTGCTAATAGGCGCGTCCACGCTTGTAAAAGCGGATAATTGGTCGTTAGTTATAAGCAAGCCACCGTCCTTAGTCGATTCTTTGCTAGCCTTCTCATCGGCAGGTTTCATCTTGGATTCACTGGCAAAGGGCTCCTAGCCTCTTAACGCAATACTTCCAGGGGAAGAGAATTTAATAATTATTTTCCAAGCAACGACCGGTTGTCCTCGTCTAGGAACACGGACAACTGAATGTTGCTCCTGAAAAGACCACCCAGAGTGGCCGCCTCATATTTCCCTCGATCCTTTCCTCCACGATAAAGTTGTTTTGGTTAGTTAATATTAAAATAACTTGATTACTTATATACTGCTATATTATATTAGAAAATAAATTTAGTCCATTTGTTGTTTTAAACACTACCCATAAAAAGAAGATTTCTTTTTCTCTTTCTCCGTATCTCAAGAAGAAGTTTGATATTAACGGACAAGGCAAACGATTGTTCGTGCTCTTTGAACGCGTCAAAAACGCCAACTACGATTGACTTATCAGGCCCGATTCAGTTGGGCTGATTGCAACCATATTTGGATCGATTTCGCTGCTATAGCTTCGGTCGAAGTACCGCGCGGGCCCTCTATCGGGTGAATCCTTTTCAAAGTAACATCCATTCGTTTATCTTTTATCTTGCAATTTCATTGAAATATATATCGTCTCTTTAATCGAATTATTCTAGACATCTTGTAATTAGTTTGATTCCATTAGATATTTCAATAAATATTTCTTAAATTTGGTGCATTTCAAATAGAATTTCTTTTCATTTTATTGTCACACTCGGTATATTCGTTAAGAACACATCACGTAACTTGCGACCAAACTTTGAAACAGGACGAAAAAGCGAAAATGACCGTTTCCATTTTGAGTTCTTATAGCTCATTGGTCGACTGGTCGACTGGTACCTTAAACAGAATTAAACTTTATGGGTTCATTCTTTTTTCTTTCGTCTCGCTTATACGAGCATATGTTTGCAATGCTCGTGCAACATTACCAAATTTTAAAAGTATAATATCAGAAAGTCTATACAAAGTTACTTTTGCAAACATTTTACAGTCCATGGCGTGATTTTAGTTAGCGCGAGATTTGCAATTTATTTGAATGTATTTTACGTTACCTCCGGGAAATTTGAAAAATCATTCTCTCCTAGTATCAGCGGTGTTGGATACGTGACATATTTAAATTTTCGGGTGCTTGTTCCTGCCGTGAGCGATAAAACGTTTGTGTTTTATGGACGGACGGACGGACGTACGTGGACTGTAACCAATAACGGAAGTTTGCACGTCGGTCAAGTGAAAAATTGAATCGTCGTTAAATCGATGATATGATGATAGGGAGGGAGTATCCTTTGCTTATTGACACGTACTATCAAAAACAAATCAAAAAATAATACACCGTAATATAATAAATTATTATTATTATTATTTGCTCATTTTTCTACTTAACTACTTAATTGTTTACGGTGTATCGTTATTCTGTTGCAAGGAATTGCGTATTATGCGTATCTCGAGTATCACATAATTCCGTTTAAAGGACCAATTACAGGAGCAAATTTATTCCTTACTAAATGGCCACTTTGCTGGCCAGTTAATAAGATGAATACGTGACGATGATTACCCCCGTGTGGTTAGTAAACTTCAAGAAACATTTTTCAAATTAGAAAGTACAAGTGTTTTTATTTGAAAAATTGTCTTTACAAAAGTACTGTATGTAAAAAACAATATACATAAGTACTGTGTCTACTACGTATAGGTGTTGATAGAATTTAAAGAGGATTCAACTCATATATTAAGTATTTCGATCATTTTGTTTCATTGCACGGATAATATTAATCGAAAGTTCAAAACAAAGGAAACTCGATTCGATTATCTCGTTCGTTAAAATCCACAAACTTTAGACGTTTGTCAAAGTTTGTCAAGACATCATGAAGTGCATTTTGACATTGGCTACGATTTTGCTAGCGACAGAACTCGTTTTTTTAGAGGATCCTACACAGAAATCAGAAAACGTGTATCATGGTAGGTAAGTGCGTCCATTTACCAATTATTTCATTGTTCTTCTGTGAATGTTCGATCAGAGGATTTTGTATTACCATTAACGTGATTCTGTCCTATATTTTTTATATTTAAATTGCAACGCGGATTAGGTATACAAGGAACGTACACGAAGCACAAATTTTAATACCACGTCGAGTCTTCGAGGATGGTAGTTTCAATACTTACAATCTTCCAAATTTCTACGATCGTCGAGAAATCAATGAACGAACCAAAAGATCCGTGGATCCTTATCTTTTACATTTAGTGTTGCCCTTTAACGGGATCGATCATCATGTCGAGTTGAGCCCGTACCATGAATTTATTTCACCACAAATGGTCATTGAAACACGATCCTCTGGTATTGGAATTGCCAGTAATCTCAACGAGGCCTTGAGATTTAAAAGAACTTCAGATCAACAGTGTCACTATAGGGGTATTGTCAGAGGCCATGACAATTCCAGAGCAGCTTTGTCCCTTTGCGATGGTGTGGTTCGTATTCATGCAATTTACTTTAATATTAGTTAAAAACACCCTCATGTCATATACATGATTGTTTTTGTTTTCTTTTGAAAGAAAGAAAGATTAGAAAAAACGTAAAGTATGAAGTAAATGAGTTATTCGAAATGGCGGCGGTCAGCCGCGAGTACGCATATGCTAGTACGCATATGCTAGTACGCATATGCAAGTAGAATTAACAAGGTTAAGCTCGGCGCGTAGGAGTACCGACGACGCGCGTTAATCCGAAATTTACGATCGGCAGACACATCGGAATCGACTTGACATTGTGCCGCAACATCGTCGATCTATATGCAAATGAGTAATATTCATTTGCATGCATTTAAGTGTATAATAAGAGGCTTGATTAGCGTTCCAGCAGTAGTACCTACTGCTTTGGAAATGGTCGCTAGTGTTACTACTAAGAGTCGTCGTCTTAGTCGTCGTCTTAGTCGTCGTCTTAGTCGTTTGCAATCAACCGCCATTACTGCAATTGCAAACTCGTCGACACATGCCACTCTAAACATACTTAATACTGACGAGCCTTGTACGTTCATTGTGCCACGAGATTGATATTGCATTCAGATTGTGCGTCGATTGCTTGCGTTGTAACGATGAATGTACTAACGTACGAGATAACGAGGGAGGGAGAGGGAGAGAGAGAGAGAGAGAGAGAGAGAAGGGGAGGAAATGCAACATGCAAAAGTCTATGCAAATGCGTTACGATAATTAACGTCCGTTCGTGGCTCGTAAGATATCTTGCTTGTGTCAGGACACGTGTGAGTAAGATTGCCGAGAGGTAAAACGTTACGACGACGATTGCATACCTTGAATATTAATTTGTACGATAAACTCTTAAACAAGCTTTTGATTCGTACAACTATTGACACCGATCAATCTTCTTTTATATTTATCCAAATTGACAAGAGCTATAGCCCTAATCAATAATTACATCTCCAAGCTATTATTTATCTGATATGAAAATTTAGCGAATTCAAGTTTGTTACATAGAGGAAGATTTGAATGATAATGATTAGCCTCTTAGAGACAAACGCTTATTTTGTTGGTGTTTATTGTAGACTACTACGAAAGTCAACGACTAACTTATTCGTGCTTCCTTATTTCTAATAACGGTTATTATATCGGGCAAGTCGGTAACATGACACGTTGATCGCGTGCAGGCTGGCTATGTGCAGACTAATCATGGACGATATTTCATCGAGCCGATGAACGAAGTCAAGCCTGAACTGGATGGTCAACATGTTCACATAGCTTATAAGAGAGATGCGCCTCATGAAAAACAAAACAACGAAAACAATTTGACAAAAGGACATTGTGGAACTAAAGGTTCGTCATTTTCATCTGGCCTTATTTTTAATTATAGCTAAATATTTGTATTCAATATAATTATATAATTATTCGCAGACGATTGGGAAAGTTCATGGGCAGAACAATTGACAAAATTACAACATCGAATAGAAGATGATAACAATAGTTTAGGATCAAAACGAGAAGTGGTACAATCTGGCACTCATAGCATTCATCGTTACATCGAAATTGGCTTAGTAGCTGACAGAAGATTTCTCGATTTTCATAATAATACCAACTACGAACAATACTTGTTGACGATCATGAATATGGTATCGGATTATTATCACGATAGTTCTAGCGGTAATCAGATTGATATCGTCGTAGTACGTATGATTTATTTGGAAAAAGAAAAAGAAGAGGTATCGTTGATTTGATCAACATTCGTGTTATACATGAACGTGTTTATTGTACAGTTTGCTGTATTTTCATGTTGATTCTATCATTTTTCTTGACAATAGATAGACTTGCTCATAAGTACAAATGCCGATAAAACACTCGACAGTTTTGCCAAATGGGCGGAAAAAATGAATCCGAAAGATCACAAACATCCTAATCACTTTGACGTTGGGGTACTCGTGACTCGGTAAATTTCTCATTTTCATATTTCTTTGTTCATCATTTTGTAATAAAGCATTTTCGAGTTTATGTGTACCTATATCAAATTGATTTCTTATTATTAATCATAAATTATATTGACACCACTTGGTGGGATAAAAATGAAACATCCTACCTACATATATCGTCCAATATTCATTACGTTCGCTGTCCCGGTGAGTCACATATAAATCAGAATATAAACCAGTTGCGAGTCGACATCATCATGGGAGACTGGTCGAGAAGATATCAAATGATAGGAAGTAACAAATAAATGTTAATTATAATCAATGATAAGTTGTTGATTTCTGACAAGTTGTATATGACTCACATCGTAAAGATAGCAAATGTACTAATGCAATCATTTCCTAATCAAATTTTACCTATGATTATTATTCTTATAATTAACTTTGAGGTATGACATTTGTTCGGCAACGAACAATTGCGATTTGATGGGTTTGGCTTTTGTTGCTGCTGCCTGCGATGCTTCCAAAGCTGCTTGCATCAACGAGGATAACGGATTATTGCTTGGAGTTGTGATTGCGCATGAAGTTGGTCATGTGTAAGTTTATTTTTCAACTTTTACCCATTAGCCATTTGATATTTGATATATTTTATTTATATATTGATTTAGATTTTTTTCTTTAGAATGGGTTGTTCTCACGATCAAGAGGATATAAGCGGCTGTTCGAAAACAGACAAAGACGGAAGTTTCTTCATCATGTCCCCTGTTGTCTTTATCTTTACGATTAGATGGTCGCCCTGCAGTAGAAGATTTATAACTTCATACTTGGAGTAAGCTCGCGTTGTTCTTTGTTGTAATGTTATTAATGAAGAAATGTAACTTTATGCGATATAAACTTCAATTATATTAGGAGTGGCCTTGGTGATTGTTTAAACGATGACCCAAAAAGTCCTGCTGCCAAGTATGCCTTTCCGAACATGTTACCCGGTGCTATGTACGGTACTGATTTCCAATGTCAGAACCAATTTCCTGGTTCAACGCCCTGTTCTAATAGAGGGGTAACACTTTTTCATTAATTATCTATACACAAAATGCAATTGTAACTTTGGAATATAATCTTGTCGTTAAACAAATTTCCAAATTGCAACTTGTGAAATAATGGGAAACTTGTGTTAGTCTTTCTTCTTTCACTTGAAATATCTTGTTACTTTTAAACTGATTCGATTATTCTCGGTTAGTGCATTTGCATGCCTAATTATATTCCAGTTCAGCGATTGTAAGGCTCTTTGGTGTTTGGCCAATTCAAGCTGCTATTCTATTGGGGTACCGAAAGCTGATGGAACAAAATGCGGCGAGAATAAGGTTCATTTGAATTTATTTATATTAAGTTGTCCAATAAGTGTCAACTTATTATTTAGATTGGAATCCTTATAAGCTAAAAGGAAATCTAAGTAAATAGAAAATTGGTTTAGTGGTGCATTCACAAGGAATGCGTGGACATGGGTTCCCGACCGAAGGCAGTGAACGGTGGATGGGGCGAATGGGGTCCCATGAGTTCTTGCACCAGAACTTGCGGCGGAGGTCTCAAATCTTCCGAGAGAGAATGCAACAAACCAGTCCCGGCAAATGGTGGTAGATATTGCGTTGGTGAGAGGAGAAGATTCAGCACTTGCAACACTACGGTAAAGACCGTATACAATTATAACTTTGTATGTTCGACACACCTTTTATTTGAAAGTACTAATTTCCCATTCCATTTGATTTTTGTGGATTTTCCAGCCTTGCGATCCAACAAAACCATCTTTTCGTGCACATCAATGTTCCATGTACAACGATAGGAAAGTTTCGTCTGATGGGCTACATCAATGGAAGCCATATTTTATGGAAACAATAAATAGTTGTGCATTGTACTGTATCAACGAAAAACGTATTTATTCCAAACTATCCCCTTCTGCAAACGATTCAACTCCTTGCAAACCCGGCACGAATAATATGTGCATTGCCGGCGTTTGTAGAGTAAGATTCTAGTTCTTCATTTCTAATTCTAATTCTAATTCTAATTCTAATTCTAATCTATTCATTAAAATTACTAATAAATTAGCTTTGCTTTACTTACACGTAATAAATGTCTTACAGAAAGTAGGCTGCAACTGGGTGGTTGATTCAGATGCAATTGATGATAGATGTGGCATTTGTAACGGTGACGGAACAAAATGCCAATTAATTGACGGTGATTATGACGTAGAGCATCCTAAGTCAGGTAAAGTCAGGATATTCGTTGAAAAATATAGTAGCATAGTAGAGTAGGTATATAATATTAATATAATATTATATATAAACAATTGTAAATAATTGTATAGCTTACGTGAAAATCGTAACAGTGCCAAGTGGTGCCCGAAGTATATTATTATTTGAAAAGAAAGCCGCTGACAATATATTCGCGGTGAAAACGACTAAAGACAAAAAGTATTGTTTGAATGGTGCCAAGTAAGTGACTATATTCTATTTGTTATCTTACATATGGGAATTAAATTTAATTACGGGACCATATATTACAAGTAGTATAAAGTAGTATAAATAAAAGAGAAACAATTCATTTGATTAGTCAAGAAGAAAGGAGTGGCGACTATGAATGTGCTGGCTCGATGCTTATTTACACACGTCCGGAACCTAATAAGGAAGAAATTGCTATAAAAGGTCCCATCACCGAAGATATCGATCTTGAGGTTCGACTTCAATTCAGTGAAAGAGACTACTCTCGAAAATATTTATTAATGTAAACAAGAAGAAATAATCAATCTTTTCTCGTGTATCGTTTCAGTATGTATTTTTTACTCCGAAATTGAATCCAGGAATTCACTATGGCTACTCGATTGGAACGGCGAACGTGTCTCACACACCGAAATATATGTGGGATTTTGTCGAGTGGTCGGAATGCAATGCCAGATGTGGTGGTGGTTCGATGGTAACGTAAATATGTATTTACTAGTGTAAACGTTCAAAGAACGATCGTATTTCGATATTACTGAGAGACTCGCGAGTCAACAAGTTTAACATTTCGTTTCTATCCTTTCTATGATAATAAAACTCGGATAAAATTCGGTTTGTTTTTTCGATTTGTTATTTTAAAATTGACAATTACAATTGTTTGATGATGATGATGATGATGAATGCAGGTGTCCGAAGCAACTTGCGTTGAAGAAGGCAGCGGAAAAGTTAGTCCATCGTTTTGCGATGGTATTCCCCAGCCAGAAGCAAAAAGCCAAGTTTGTAATCAGGAACCCTGTGTTGCTAAGTAATGGCCTTTACTTTATTGCTATTTGAAACATTGAGCTATTTGAAAGAATTAGATATTTATATTTGGAAAATATATTATATTTAGATGGAGAGTAAGTCAGTGGAGCAAGTGTAACGCATGCGATGGTAAAAAAGGTACGAGGCATCGTAAAATCCAATGTATGAGAATGAGCGGGCAACCCGATGAGGAAGCCATTCAAGCAAATTTCGATGCTTGTCAGGGTCGCGTGCCACGACAAACAGAAGAATGCATTGGTACGGACAATTGATTTCTTTTACTTGTAACTATCTCTTTATTTACTGACAAACTTGTACAAATGTTCAGGTGAGAGGCCCTGTAAAAAAATCTGCGATAAGAAAACTCGTGATTCTTCGAGAAAAGAATTGATCGAGGACAATGAGATTGATGAAAATTTATCGGAAGATGATCGTCGTAGAATGATCGATCGGTTTGTTGATTTAGGACTGGCACGTTATCTTGAAAATATTCGTTCTTCGACGAAAGTTACGGATAAGAGCGACGATAAAAATGAATCGAATGATTTCCGACGATTCATACGCGATTGGGTTATGAATTCAGAAGAGGAAGAGAAGGAGAGCGATAGAAAAAATACTTGCGAATTCAGTGAGAAAAATTTTACTACGCCAAAGCCTGGCTCGATAATCAAGGATTCGATTCCGGAAGAAAATGTTGTATTGCTTGAAGCACCTTACAACGAAGAAATGTTAATTTCTAATTTATCGGACAAAGCATTCAACGAAGCTGGTGATATTATAGGAACGAGTATCGATACTGAAAATCAAAAAATTTATAAAGGCTTGGACGCTGTTAAGATGATAGAACAACTTCAAAATCAAAAGAAACCAAAGAATAATAATAATCATTCGAACGAGCAAAACATTACTACTACGAAAATATAATATAGATATGTTCTTTTTTAATTTCAATTCATTTTAGAATCTCAACTAAAGGATAATTTACTGAAAAAATCACTGTCTTCTTCCACCGTTTTATTTAGTTTCTTTTCTCTCGATCATGTTGATACATCAACTACATCTTCTTGAATTCCAACGTTATCGAGAGGTACGCATTAATAACAGGATCTGAGGAGTGAGTTATTAAAGGATAGTTAATTAGTTGCCAATTAACGATCGTTCCTTCCTAGATGTTGCAGGATGCGCTGTCACTTCGACAAATCTCGCAAACATCTTCGACCTCGTTAAATTCCATATCGAGATCGCATGGTATCTCTTTGCAAACGCCAATAACGCGGATGTCCCGAATGCCTCTCTACCATGCCTCTCTACCATGCCTCTCTACGACCTTTGACATTAATAATTATCATTTGGTCCCACCCAGTAGTATAGCTTTCATGTTTAATTAGGAACTGCATCGACGAGATTTTAGCGGCTAGTGGCAAATAGTTACCTACCACTGAATTTTTTATGGAGCTAACATTTTATTCCCCAATTAAATGAGGACTCGAATAAAAGATATTTTCTGGTTAAATCGCCATCCATCAGTGTGCAATAACGAAGTATCGAAATCACGATGTTCGTCGTTTTATTTACCTTCAAATGAATTGCTTTCTATTCTCGTTCAGGTCGCAAATAAAAAGCGTAACAGCGCACAGTAAAACCACGTAAAATCATATTAACTGTTACAAATGTCGCTTTATATTATATGTACTACGATATCGTTTCATTTTACCACTGTGATAAGTTTACGAGAACCATTTTTCCAGAATACTCGTTAAGAGCGTGCGATACCGTGCAAGGAATAATAAAATTCTAATATACGGGTTATTCGTTCCTAATTTCGCAAAACATGAATCAAATTTTTCTATATGCCTTTCTAAACTACGTTCCAATGAAAAGAGAGAGAGAGGGAGAGAGGAAAAAACACTTTGTTAACTTGATTGGTTCTTCTTAACTTAAATCGTAAATCGACGATTATTAAAATGGACAAAAATGACAATTCAATTGGACGATCGGCTGAGCGAGCAGATTCAGTCAAGCAATTAAAAGTTGCCTATTAGGCAAATGACACAAGTAGGATTCCAAAGCAAAACGGGGAAAGGTAGAAAAGTAAATGTAATGATTATTATATAAATAAACATTTTTCTAAATGGATAAAGCAGAAATGCATGTCAGTCAAGAAGCAACTACAGCTTATTGATACTAACGACAGATGGCACCTTTTTACAGTTGGGATACAGAGTGTCGCACAAAACTTTGGACTCACCCTTTTTTTTTGTCATTTGTTTTCCCATAAATTGTCATTTCTATTATTCGAAAATACTTAAGACGTCCAACAGGTACTAGATATAATGTAAGATACCAAATTGAAGATGGTGGTGGGAACGCTAAAGTAGAATAGCCCGAAACTTTTGCACGCAACTCTATGCAAGATCTATTTTCTTCAAAGTTCAATTCTATATACTTTTTTTTTTTTGTGGAGATTTTCATTAGAAATGATAGAAAAAATAAAACATTACTAAGAACTATTCGCTGGAAAATATTTTCTTAAATAAAGGAACTACTCATTTCTTCGCAGAACCACCTTTTGAGAATCCTCTCGCACATTATCCTTTAAAGTTCCCTTGAGATTCTATAGAACGACAAGTAGTTTTGTTTTGCTACACGAGCACATACTCACGATATATGCACATTTATCGGGTGTTCAAAATAAAACAACAAATACTATAAATATTTGGTTAAATATCTTTGAAAATTGAACAATATAGAAAAATATATGAAATAAAAGTTATTTATTTATTAAAATGACCTTAAAATCTTTTTTTTTTAAAGATAGATGAAGAATTTGTTAAAGATAAAAATGTGCACGACGATTTATTTAGAACACTCAATATATAAGAATGTAAAAAATGTATTTCTAAATATTGTTCGATTTCAATCTATTAAGCAAGTATACGTTGAGGTATGTATAGAGACAAATCAACGAGTGATTCATACACGCGAGTGTACATAATCATAAACACACACATACACACAGGAAAAGAAACGTTATTTATCTCGTTGGAGATTGAAGAAGAAAAATGGAAAGCATAGGTTTCGTTTGTAAAGAAACTCGGTGAATTTTCAAATAGAATGAGGAAATTTTCTTCTCTAGTATTAGGTCCCGGTGGAACGACGAGAAAATTCCATAACAGAATCGATCGACATTGTCCCGAGCAACATCACGAAATTCAGAATGGATCTTCGAAAGGACCATCAACGTTTCGACATAAACGACAACACTTCCGTGTATAACACACACACACACACACACACAGAGTTCTTTAAGTGCTTAGCTACATGCACTAGAAAAGCATCGCGAATGAAATATTTTGTAGAAGGGATCTAATGTGTTCTCTGTATAATTTTCTATGCAGGGTGGTGGTTATTCAGTACATTACGCAGGATTCAATTTAATTTGATTAATCTTGAAATAGTACATTACAAAAAGGATCCTTTTGTTTTGTTGAATATTTTTCGCAATAAAATATAAGGATTAGCTCGATGGATGGTAGCAGTTTCGTTGCAGTGAAACAACTCGCGCACAGGTAAATAAATAAATAAGAATAAAAGCGTGAAAAAGCTTGACATTGTCTACCTCGCATGCGAGCTTAATGTTACGTTTTCGCTGTCACAACTACTATCTCTCTTTTCTTCTCTCTTTTCTTTCTCTAATTTCCTTCTTTTCCACTCTTTGTCTCGCTATGACGATCGAGAAATGTAAAGACTTTGCGAGTACTTAATCAAATAAAATAATAAAAAGCACGAGTGATCATCACATGAAAATATAAGTAATCGCATATGATCGATCAATTTATCAATGAAAAATAATAAATGACTGTTTAACGATTTTTTGTACAGATTTAAAATAAACCTTCGTGTACGAGTTTGAAAACCACTGAAGTATAGAAAGCAGCAAGTTCTTAGCCCTTTTCCCCTCTGAATCTGAGCATTTCTGTCGTCGTAGTTGTAGGTCGGTTGGTCGTAGGTCGGTCGGTTGGTCGTAGGTCGGTCGGTCGTAGGTCGGTCGTAGGTCGGTCGTCCGATGCAATCTCTTTATCGTAAAGTTCAGATTAAAGTAGCCAAGAAGTAGTGTATAGAACAGGGGCCCGTGGGCTACAACTTTAGCTTCCTTGTAATACCCGAGCGAACTTTTCTCGGGGCGGGAGAGGAGGGAGTGAGGGGGGGGGGTCTAAAGGGTGGCCCAGGCAAATCGTGTATATATTTCCGGCAATCTCTCGAAGATCTTTTAAGAAAGTACAATTACGCTAGAGACTGTATTGTTCCTTGTTAAAGTGAACTCGGCGACGTTAAGACGTTAACGGACGAAATGTTGTTTTGCGTTTGTTTCTTCCAAGATAGAGTTAGGTATGCAGTATTTTCCTACTTACCTACCTATCCACCTACCCACCTACCGAGGAACTTGCTAATTAAACTGCCATCTGGTCGAGTACTTCTTAATTCTATTATTACGATATGATTATAAAACGTTGCATCTTGAATAGACGAAGCGAGAAACACCATTTCTTTACGAGTATAACCAGCCCTGGGTTTTCTTTATTCTTCAACTAATATCGTTTTAGATAAGAAATATAGAAAAAGAGAGAAAAGGAAAAATAATAAAACGAAATGAAATAAAAAAGGTAGAGAAAGAAAGAGAAACACAGAGTCTCGTTGTATTTAACACACGTAGAGACTCTTCGTTTTTGAGAAGTCGAGTTGTTCGTTCGTTCGTTCGTTCGTTCGTTTGTTGGTAACGTGCCGTGTAGTACTCGACCAAGCTAGTACGCGATGTGCCAACGAAAGTAACGACGCAAGATACCATGAGACGAAACGACTTTTTAATACGGCACGTTTCTACAACACATACGCATTTTGAAGTATGTGTCAACCCTATTTTATCTCCCCGTTGTGTTTGATTCGTGTCAACAGCAAACGCATCTATTGTTTTTATTTCTACACCCTTCTCGAGTACCAACCAAATTTTCCAATATATTTTAATCAATATCAAAAAAAAAATTGTCTTTTGAACTAATCTTCAATCTTTTTTGAATAACTCTGTATATAGCTATACTTGGTTTAAACAATCTTAGCATTCTTTAACGAAATTCTCATTTAAATGGATACTATATCTTTGGAAAAATCGTTACTAAGGATAAGCTTCTTCGCAAGGAAGTCAGTTATGCTTTATTGAAACTCTTGAGCTTTCTATCGAGCAAGACTTTATAATTTTAGATATCTGTCTGTCCCTGTCATAGTATTAAGCTGTTGGATAGAAATAAAATGAGAAAATGAGGGGGGGGGGAGAGAGAAGGTAAAACCAGCAACCATTATCATAAACCGCAGACTCAGCATCGGAAGAGTTTACGAAGGTTGAATTAAATGGTAGCAACTTTGAAGAAGTAAGAGGAAGGGTGGAAGAATCGTTTTTATGAAAAGCTTCTTCAGCGAGCTTTGGAAGTCTAAGGAGAAAGCGAAAGGACCCTACCTTCGAAATTTCCAGCGCCGTAAATCTCCATTAGTTTCTATTACACATTATTCGACGCTAGTTCTCTTTCAACAATTATTTCGAATAAATGATAAGGAAAAGATTGAGATAAAGACAAATATATTTTTACAATGTTGACTTGTGTCGAAAGTTACAACACGCGAGGAGGCGATAGAGTACAGCTGCTAAATTTGATTGAAAACAGAAAGAAATGAAAGAAAGAGTGAGAGAAAAAATATTCGGTATGCACGACAAATGTAAATTTCACCGTCAGCTGGAGATACAATCTCTGGCTGGGATATACCGGTTAAACGAGAACAATCGTGTACGAGCACATTGGCAGCCATTGGAAATTTCAAATGCCCCTTCACTTTTTCCCTTTACTCACATTCAACAACAATTGTCGTTCTTTAATAATCCAACATCGAATATTGGCCAGATTTCAATTGGATTGTTCTCTTTTCAATATCTATACATTGAAAACTATTTTATTTACTAACAGACAGACAGACAGACAGATATATCGAATTAAAAGTGCAATTAATAATAGATAAATACATGTGTACAAGTGGTGAACAAAAGTAACTTTTCGAGTGCAAAGAGTTCAATTTCTTTTCGATGATTTCTATTTCTGAGTCTTTTGCACGAAACCCAGATACAATTTGAACTGTTACGTCAGATTATAGCACGCGATCTACATAGTGATATAACAGGTCTGAACTCAGGAAAATCAAATTAAAACTCGCGGATTCGTATTCGCTTTAACTGCGGGAACTTCAAATTCAAGCACGAGCTTTAATATAACACGTAGGTATTACGAGACACGTAGAAATGTGCATCTACATGTACTCAAACTAATACTTTGTTAAATGTATATATCTATTGCAATATACTATGAATATGTACTATATAGGCGTATATAGGCGTCTCTGTATATACAGGGTGTTCTCTTTAATTAGTGGAACAAGACAATTTTATCATATCAGGTTTAGAAGTAAATGAAGTTGGTATCATTTTAAAATTCTTTTTGTTCTTTTTTTTTGTTTGATAGGCTCTGCTAAGGAAAATCGTCTTCTTTTCGTTGATGTAAAAGTCCTATCTTCTGTCTTTTGAGCTCCGATTTATTTTAACGACCATGATTTGATCCTCTCCAACTATTATTTCCCTTCTTCGTTTCCATATTCGCATCGTTGGTTTTCATCTCGAATGTACGACTGTAATTTTCATTTCCACTTTTTCCCCCTAGTGATTTTCTGCCTTTTAAATGTAGATTTAAATAAAAAGAAGAAGTATTGCCTTTTAAATGAAATATTGAATGTTGATTTTGTCTCTTTCTCTGTTATAGTTTTTCTATTGAAAAAGTCATTTTATAATTGTTTTAATATTCGGAAAATTTGCTTTGGAACTTGTTAT